CGGTTGGTGGGGGAGGGTTCGGGTTGTCAACGCATCCTGGAACCCGCCCGCTAAGCTTTTCGTTTGCCAAACACGACAGGCGGAAATAACGGCAGACTGAGTCGGTGGTGAGCCGCACCGGCTTGATCCAATCAATTGACCTGATTTGATCGCACGTCAACTGAACCCCGACGTCGCCCCCATCCGAACACCCCTTAGAGGTACATCCAAGTACCTAACGTAGCTCAGCGCGATTTTTAAGGCCTCGGGTTCTCGGGGTCTCCAATCCCCGGGCCCAGTTACTACGTCAGTCAGGCGAAGGGGCAAAAGACCCCCGCACACTCATCAAGCCGTGATAGCCAGCGCCGACACCCCCAGTCACTGCTCCGCCCTAGCATATACATAGTATAGTGCGGGCTACGCTGCCCCCTCTGCATGTTCGTGCAATGGGAGGTCGAATCAACAGAGAGCTCGGGCCGTTCCGAAGAGGGGAAATATCATCATCACGACTGTTCTTGGCGGCAGCACCGTGAATATAATAATAAAAAAACTCCGGCGCAGTTCTGCAGCATCAACACCAGATCCGACGCCACCTGAACAGAGACGGGCTTGGTTCGCATTTACTGTGCAGGACTGGCTGCTCGGCCAAAGACGATAGTAGCGAGGCGCGAGTTGTGTTACGGGACCGCTCTTGAGCTGGGGCTGGTCGGATTCGGGGGTTGCAACCGCCCGCGGCCGCCAATCACACCCGTCCTGAGCTAGAGGTACCGCGATTTACGCTGGAGATACCGGCGGTTCCCCCGCCGGCTTCCCGGCATCCTGTCGTCCCATGCTTTATCCCACAGGGTTTCATCGCAGATATGCCAGCATTCCTAGCGCGGCGGGGTCCACAGCACTGGTCACTGATCCCTCCTCCACGTATGCCAGCATGGCGTCGAAGTATCCCGACGACAGGGCGAGGCACCCACCCACCCGCCACCAGCCCGTACCGCATCTGATTCCGTGTATTTAAGGAGAGGATATCCTCACCATCTCTACCATCAGCTTCGACGCGATCCCATCCTTTGCCTGCAATATCACAAGGTCGGACCAAACAACGCGAAAATGCCCTCCATCAAAGAGGCGCACTGGGCCTCGCTCCTCGAGACCGATGGAACCACGGGTAGGCTTGCCCTGTGGGCTGGTCTCCTGGGAGCAACGGTGAGCCATGTCCTGGGCACTCGCCCGTCAGCAGCAGCCCGTCTGTTGCAAGATGCTGGCTTTTCATGAGAACCTAGACTGATACGCACCTTCTTCTCCAGCTCGTGCTGTACGGCCTAGGCATCGCCGTCTATCGGATATGGTTCCACCCGCTCTCAAAGTTCCCGGGCCCGGTCTCCATGGCACTCACCGAGTGGACCTTCCTCTACAAGCAGCATATGTCGGGGACCATGACAGCGCAGATGGGGGAGATGCACCGCAAGTACGGCAAGATAGTCCGCGTATGCCCCAACCGCATCCTCGTCGAAGGATCCATTGGCTGGAACGATGTTTACGCCCACCGCCCCGGCGGGGACGCAACCGAATTCCATAAGCCTTTCAACTACTTTTTTCCAGGCGACCAGGCGAGCCTTATCGGCGCGCCGACGAGGGACGACCACCGACGCCAACGCCGCCAGCTAGCCCATGCTTTTAGCGAAGCTGCTATGGTTGAACAAGCACCTATTATCATGTTTTACATCGAACTTTTTATCCAACGCCTGGCGGAAAATTCGGCCAACGGCCAGCCCGTCGACATGCTAAAATGGTTGAATTTTGTTACCTTCGATATCATCGGCGACCTTTCCTTGGGCGAATCTTTTCACAGCCTGGAAACTAGCGACTACCACCCCTGGGTACTCAACATTTTCAATGGCATCCGGGGCATCAATAAGAGCCGCTTTCTCAAGTCGCTATGGCCAGTCATGGCCACCCTGTATGGCCGCTTCGAGAGCTCCGGGTCACTCAAGGCCAGCAGGGAAAACCTGAACTACGCCCGGGAGAAGGCCCGGGCCCGCCTCGCGCTCGGCCCCGAGCCCCTGGTCGCTGACCGCGAGCAGGTGGTCGGGCTCGACGGGAAGACGAGGAAGATGACGGTGCGCCGCGACTTCATGACCTACATGATGCGCAACGGCGCCGCCGGCAGTGACGAGAAGTCCGTCATCACCGAGGAGGAGCTCCTGAACAACGCCTTCCTCATCATCACGGCCGGCAGTGAGACCACCGGCACCAACCTGTCGACCCTCTTCTACATGCTCGGCCTGCCCAGCAACCGCGCGTACCGGGATACCGTCGCCGCCGAGGTGCGCGCCGCCTTCTCTGATGCCTCCGAGATGAACCTGCTCAACGTGAACGCCAAGGCCCTGCCGCTCCTGCACGCCTGCATCGAGGAGTCGTTGCGTTATCATTGTCCCATCACCAACCCTCCGCCGCGCATCTCCCGCGGCGCTCCTGTTGGCGGGCACTACATTCCGAAAGGGGTATGTGATGGGCGCCTCTTTTCCAGCTTCCTTCCCCAAATACCCAGGTGGTATCCCCGTTACAAATTGTGAGCCCTGCCCAGGTAAGCTAACCAAGCCTACTTGAAAAAATACAGGTCGTCATCAACGTCTCGGGACACGCCACCTTCCGGAGCCCGGAGCACTTCTTCGACGCCGGGTCCTGGCGGCCGGAGCGGTTCCTGCCGGCGGGCCACGCCATGTACGACGCGCGCTTCGCGAACGACGATACGTCCGTCTTCAAGCCCTTCAGCCACGGCCCGCGCGACTGCATCGGCAAGAACCTGTCGTACGCCGAGATGCGCCTCGTGGCCGCCAACGTCCTGCTCCGCTTCGACGTCGACCTTCACCCCGACACCCCGGCCGACTGGCTCTCGGGCCAGCGCTCCTTTGGCATCTGGGAGAAGGGGCCCCTGATGCTGAGGCTCGACGAGCGCAAGGACCTGGTGGCCGCTTAGGGGGAGCTTGTATTTGCCGATGGTGGTGGGGGTAGTATGGTGAGGTTTGGGGGAGTCTGCCTAGTCTGAATTCTTGCGTGTTCGGGTTGACAGATTTTTTTTTTTTTTTGTAGAAGCACCATCAGCCATTGGCAGACACACAACTTTCCTTTGTACTGACAATTGATTTTTGTTTTATACACAGACAGATTGATTCAATGTCCGTTTGTATTATCACAACCCTGGGGGACATGGTCCGATTTGTCAATTGCCCAATACCCACCCAGGGAACAGCGACCGCCAGTGCTTTGGTGTCATTCACCTGACTAGGAGCTCATGATGGGTGGCCAACTTTATTTTATTTTATTAGAAGTAAGAAATAACTATATATATCGTATACTGGGGTGTGCTTATGTGCTGCCCCTTTTGACAAGGAAAGGAATCAGGTCCGATAGCGTGTATTTTGTACAAAGAAACCCAAGATCCCATATCACGCAACAAACCTGCGTGTCAAAAATGTCCAAGTGAAATGAACCAGACAACCCGCGTGCTGGGACACTTCCAAGACCGAGAGCACACCGAGTCTCTCAGCCGCCATCAGCTTAGGACTGGAGCACGCTCTTGCGGCACTTGGTGCCGATGCAGCAGTTGATGGTGCCGCCCTTGCAGATGTCGTGCGCCATGGCCTTGTTGTCCCTGGGGAAGGTGTAGGCGGCGCCGCGGCAGGGGGCGAAGAACTGTGTGGGCGACGTGGCGCCGGTGTTGGTGCGCGTCGGGTTCTTGCACGAGCCCTTGCCGTTGTTGTTTGGGCAAGTGCCGAGCCCCCAGAGGTTCTTGTTGCAGCCCACGACCATGCGGTTGGTCTCGGCGCAGGCGCAGACGATGGGGACCGAGTAGCCGCTGACGAAGGAGATGTTGATGCCGATCTCGCCTCTGACAAAGGCCCCCTCGATCAGGGACTCGTCCCCGACGATGGCCCGCCCGCCGCCGTTTTGGACGATGGCCACGTTGCCGGCCCAGTCGCGCGGCACGACAAAGGACGCCGACTTGCCGTTCTTGAGCACGCCGGCGCCGACGTTGCCGGCCACGGGTGCAGGCGCGCCGGCGTTGCGCGCGTGCCGCGTGCTCACGTCGCTGCCGTGCGAGTTCCAGATCTTGAAGGTCAGCCGCGTCGGCGCGCGCGCCAGGATGGCCGCGCCGTCCTGGCGCTCGGCCAGATCGGGCGCCGCCGTCGGTGCCGGGGCCGGGGCTGTGACGGGGTCCTCGCCGGCGGGCGAGGGCGTCTCCGTCTCGGCCGGCAGCAGCGGGGACGTGCCCGAGGCCGAGGCCTTGAGGGCCATGTCGATGGCGCCGCCTAGGGCGAGCGGGTAGGTGGCGGGGTCGATCACGTCGGGCTCGCCGACCAGGGGGCCGGGCTCGTCAGAGTCCTCCTGGCGCCGGACCTTGGCCACCAGGGTCGGCTGCGGGGTGGCCATGGCAAGCCCCAGGAGGGCCGCGACGACGAGAGTGGCGCGCATGTTGGGAGAAGGGGGTTTGCTATGATATATAGTGGGATCAGGGCGAGGAGGTATGCTATGCTCGTAGGCTGGTCTCTCTGTGATGGCTTAAAACGCTGCGAACCAGCTCATTTTATATCTAGATTCTGACTATGAGTAGGCATGCCGTCCTTCAACAATGTCGCCTCGAAGTCACCTTGTCGCCGAGGGAATCTCACACCGGCGCTATGCACCCTCGCCTTCTTTGCAAAGGCTGGCGCTGCCACCGTGATCTTCACGCCACCGATACTGAAGAGATTGCAGAAATCCTTCAGACATGACACTGGAACCATATGGGGCAAGCATAAAGCCGTGAATGCCTTCTTCGAACCCCGATAACTGACACGCAGGATTCGTGGCCCCATAAAAACGAACCACAGGATCGGGCACAGCACCGGGAGCGTGTTCTAGATCCGGGGCATGCAAGGGCCTGGCTGGCGTTAGATTCTCGGGCTGGGCCGAGAGCATGCCCCTTTTGGTAATATCGAATAATAGCGTCGGGTGTAAGCGCGTCGGTTCGGGTCACCGCCGGCGTCCAGCCCACCTGATTTTGGACACCGCGGCTGTCCAATCGAGCACCTACGCAGTGATACCACCCAAAGCGGAAACAACTTGAGGATTTGTGGCTGTGGTGAATGTGGCTCACGTGGCTCGAGGTGCCTTGATGATGCAGAGATCAGTCGAGGCCTTGATAAGATGGCGGTGTGTGCTTTCTATTGGGCTGCCTACCAGGGCCCTTTGAAAGATACAACGTGACTTTGGTATTGTGCCAAGATTCTCAGTCCTTCTTTTTGTTAGTTCCCTAGGATCAGGGGCATCGTGCTACCATGAGCGTTGAGGATATTTTTTGCAGGTCGATGTGCCTTGTTGGGCACTTCCCGCGCGTTTTGGGTTCTGCGCTTGCTCGAGGGCTCATTCGGGGCTGCCGCCAACACCAAACCGTGCTGTGTTTGAGCATTGACGTCAGATAGCCTAGCGAAATGGAAATTCGACGGCTGGCCAACTTAAAAACGAGAAACGCTGGATTGTTTTCTGCGCTGCTTGTTTGTTTAGCACCAGATCTAGGATTTGCAACACTGTGCTCCAGCGCGCATCACATAAGCTCGGCACAGTGAGAGCCCTATAGTTCTAACTGTTGGCCCACCACTTCCAGGGCACCCCACCCACCGCTTGCTCTGGAAGATTCGAGCGCTGTCGACGAATCGAAGCCAGAATGGTCTACAATGCTCTATGGCGACGGTATGACGACTGCCGCGAACCTGCAACGCCTGGAAATAGCCAAAACATTCTATCAAAGAATATTCGCGATGCTTCGTGTAGCTGAGATGGACTCTCACGATGGCTATATATTGGTGCTTCCAACACCTCCCGGGCAGACTGGACTTTGTTCCTCAGACAGCAACCAACAAGCACAATAACACAAGCACTCGAACCACTTACACCCTCGACGCACATCGCAACATCACTTTTGCATCGCTTTGAGCGAACAAACTCTACAACAACACATCACCAACCATCTACCATTACACACCAACCATCAAAATGGCCTTCTTCGCTTCTCGCCCGTCCGCCTCCCTCTACGAGCCCAACTACTCGGGCCTCTTCCGGCTGATTGACGAGTTCAACAACTACGCGGCCGAGGCCAACGCTTCCGACGCCGACGCCCCCGCCCCCAGCTCCAACAACCAGGCCCTCACCAACTCCACCGGCGGCAACAACAACGGCGTCAGCAACAGAGCCAACAAGCGGCGCTCGCTGCACAACAGCCTGCCCATCTGGACGCCCAAGTTCGACCTGCAAGAGACGCCCAGCACGTACGTCCTGCACGGCGAGTTCCCGGGCGTCGAGAAGAAGGACATCCACATTGAGTTCGCCGACGAGCAGACCATGTCCATCCGCGGCCGCTCCGAGCGCGTCCAGACCCACTCCAGCGAGGACGTTGAGGAGGCGACCGGCAAGGACGCCGGTAAGGACGCCGGCAAAGAGAAGGAGAAGGACTCGGGCGCCCAGCAGGAGTCCAACGGGAAGGAGGTGGCCCACCAGGACAAGAGCAAGCAGCAGGTCGGCGCCCAAAGGGAGCAGCGGCCCCAGCTCAAGTACTGGGTCGCGGAGCGCAGCCTCGGCGAGTTCGCCCGCTCCTTCACCTTCCCCAGCCGCGTCGACCCCAGCGGCGTCGTGGCCAAGCTCGACAATGGCGTGCTAAACCTTGTGGTGCCCAAGGCCGCGAAGCCCCAGGGAAGGAAGATCACGGTGACGTAATCCGCTGGACACCAAGGTCGAAAGATTGTGACTTTTCTTTGCAGGAAAAGCGTTGTTTTACCGGAATGAGCGTTGAGGTGGTTTTATCAAGCGCGTGACGAATATCGACTGTAAAGCTAGCTGTTTTCATTGTATTTTTGCAGTTAATCAAGTTCGGGTTTGCAGATTTGGATTATTCCTCAACACCGGACCCGGGAAAACGTGTCGGTGCAAAGCTTTGAATAACCTTGAAAGTAATCGCAAGTGTCACCCAGGCTATGACCATTGGCTCGAGTATGGCGGGAAGTATGAGGGCAAACCTACACATGATGACTTCAGAGGGCCCAGGCGCAGAACTGTATCAATGTTGGCAAACTCTAACTATGCCCGCGAGCGAGTGGTATATAAGCATCCCTACCCGCCGCATGAACCGGAGTCTTTGTCCTCTTTCTCTCTCTCTCTTGGGGGCGACTGTTCCCTTTGCTCGCTAAGTCGTCTCCCCCTGTGCCGTTCGCTGCTTAGCAAAGCTTCGGCGAACTCGTACAGCCGAAGTGGTCCCTCTGTCCCACAAGAAGCTCGCACAGCCCAACCACGACGATACCGACAACACATCGCCCAGTCAGTTTTGTGGTTGGGCTCTGGGCCGCCAGCGCCAGGGCTTTTTACTCTAGCAAGCACAAGATATCTAGAGTCAAAGTTGGCACCTCCGAGGAACAACAAGCATAAAAAAAACAAGGAAGTGTCTTGGCCCAGACCTTTCTTGCGACACGGGAATGCGTCAGCCCATCACGACCCTTCCGCACCCGACCCTCCTACGCCCCAAATGTTGCCTTTTAGCGGCTGCGATAAAATCGCTGGCTGGGAGTGGTACAGTTTCTGTCATCACTAGGCGCCGATGTTATGCCCATCCTGTTCAGGGCAGGATGGCGTCAATGGTCAACAAAAGTGTGCACCAGCCTCGGGTGGAATAAGTTTGGTAGCTGACTCAAAGAAAAGAGACAAATTTCCATTCTCAATACAGGGCTTTGAGGTGATCCCAGCACCCGCGGCTGTTTAAATATGGACAGCCGTCTACTCCTGTGCTTGTCCCGTATCGCATTTTCAGGTGCTCTTACATGCGGCCTTGACAGTCCAGGCCGTTTCCAATGCAGACGGGCTCAGGATCCGAAGTGTTTCCTGGCGGGAAGTTGCATTATTTGGTGTGAAGGCCACCGAACTTTGCGTCACCAGGGTTGACGGGCTCGCTCTTGTACGCCTCGCCAACGATTTGAGGGAGCTCGTACGCCGTGGGAGGGGGTGCAATCTCCCTCCCCTGGACCTGAAGCTTGAGGCTGGGGGCCGAAGCCACGGGGGTGTAGGAGCCGTTGATCTGGATGGTTGGTTAGTTCAAGAGTTCATCGGCAGGGCACCTCAACCCCCTCGTCGGCACGTACCTGTTTAATCTCGGCCCGCAGCTGCCCCTGGAGCTTGGAGACCATGGTCGAGTTGCCGGCCTCGTAGCCGGTCCCGTTGGCGCTCGACCCCGCCACGTCCTCGTCGCTGATCTGCAGGAACCGGTCGAGCGCAAAGGTGGAGTAGGTCACGCCCGTGGTGGGCATGGACGGGATGCTCATGCGGCCGGCCCTGCGCGAGCCCACGTAGAAGTAGATGGTGCAGGGGAGGTCCAGCTCGCCGCGCTCCACCTCGGCCTGCACCGAGTACGAGGCCTTGGTGTCGACCGGCGGCGGGGCGCCGCTGCCGCAGCCTGGGCCGTCGCCGTAGTATCCGCCGCCGCCACCGCCGCAGGTCGGCTTGTCGGATGGGGCGCTCCCGCCGTCGGTTGGCTGGCTGGGCGCTGCCTCGATGCTGGACGCTGGTGTGCTGGGCGCTGCCTCGACGCTGGAGGTCGGTGTGCCGGCCTGCTCGCTGGCGGGTGCACTGCTGCTGCCATACGCCGGGTCGCTCGACAAGTCGTCTCCGCCGTAAGTGGATTTGCTGTCCTGGTAGTCCGAGCCGGCCTCGTCGGTATACACCGCCGACCGCCTAAAGAGTCTACGGCGCTTGCCCTTGCCGCCTTTATCCTTGCCACCCAGGCCGAGGCCCAGAGGAGGGCCTGGGGGTGTCGGGGGACCGCCGGGGCCTTGGCCGATAGGAAGGGGAATGGGGACGGGGACTGGGAGCGTCGCCCCCGGGTTGCCTCCGTCGGGTGTGGAGGTCGGGGCACCAGACCCCTGGGTGTTTGGGCTGGCGGCAGCGGCTCTGGACGTGGTGGGCGCAGAAGAGGTCGTCCGGGCACTGCTCGTGGCAGAGCGTGCGGTCGAGGAGGGCCTCACTGAGCTGCTGCTGGACGAGGAAGTGGTCGGCTGGGACCCGGCGAGTCCGCCGCCGTACAAGCTGTTGACGGCGGCGATGACGGCGGCGCGCGTGCCCTCCTTGCCCTGCGACCAGTCGTCGATCTCGGGATAGGTGTAGCCAAAGGGCGCGATGTTGGCGACGGACCGGCCGGTGTGGAAGTTGCCGTTCGTGTCCCGGTAAAAGGGGCGCAGGGGGGAGTCGCCGTTGACGGAAGACCCCCCGACGGTGGAGAACTGGCCGTTTGTGGCCATGGCGACGGTCTGGAAGGTGTTGTTGTAGTTGATGGCCTGCCACATGGCGATGTAGCGGTCGACGTTGCAGTGGTGCAGCATGAAGATGGGGTCAAAGGCCGAGTAGTCGAGGTAGGCCATGACGGCGTACATGGTGGTGTGGACATCGTTGTGTGGATTCTCGAACGAGGCGCCCTGGGATGCCGTGGTGGCCATGGTGTTGTAGTTGGTCACGCGTGTGAGCACGTTGTAGACCGAGTCCTTGAGGGACTTTGCCACGTCGGCGAGGTTGCTGTTGACGATGTTGATCTGGCTGTTGCCCCGGCTGTTAGGCTGGCGCGTGGTCTCTGGCCAGCCCCACAGGTTGCGATCCTGGCTGGTGGGAAACCAGTTGCTGTTCAGCGGGTACTGCTGCCACTTGTAGCTCCATAGAGGGTTAGGAACCGTGACCTGGCCGTCCGGCCCGTTCACCGTGATGTTTGGAGTTGATGCCACCTGTGGGAGTGTTGGGTTGGCGGCCCAGTCCCAGTAAGGGGCGCGCCAGCTGGCTGCCGCGGCCTGGTATTCCGCTGCGTTGCTGCCCGTGTACATGGACGCGACGACACTGACATGACCCGAGAGGGTTTGCTCGTACAGTGCCAGGTATGGCCGATGCCACGCGGGGAATTGGATGTCCTGTGATTACAGCGGCGGAGGGTGAGCGATGATGGTTGGCACAAGGGAGCATGTTGGGACCATACATTATGGGGGCAGTAGCCCCTGTTGACACCACCTGCCACAGCCTCAACCCCGTTCCAGGCGATATACGGCCGTCCGTGGATGCCTTGCGATTGACAAGCGTGAGTGTCAGCATGCAGTAGAAGCACGTGTCGAGGAGCCGCAGAGGCGCCAACCTGCTATCTGAAAGTATGACAGTTCGTCATCTTCCGCCTGTGACTGGAACCTCAGCAAGCCCAGGATATACAAGTCCCTGTGCAAGTCCCAGAAAAGCGTGAGTATATCGATGTAAGTGACTCTGATGAGCCCCCTTTCCAAGAAACAGGCCTACCATTGGGCACCCGAGTTTTGCAAAGTGTTAATATCCAGACGAGCCGGGCGCTGGCCGGTCGCGGTGTTGACACCACTGGTGACTCCCGTGATGGCGACGGGCTGGTTTTGGCCAAGTGCAAGACCAGGTGCCTGAGCCAGTGCCAGGAGCACAGACACGACAAATCCGCGAACCGGAGACATCGCGGGCGAATGCGATGAGAAAAGAGCGAAGGAAAACGAGTGTGAGAGGCTGCAAAGAAAGGAAACGAGCGTCTATCGGTTGCGCCTGAGCCGACCTCATCTTGGTCTGGAGCACACAGGGGTAGAACTGAGTGTTTATATCGAAAATGGAGATCATGACAAACCCAAGCGCAATGACACTGATGAGTGCTAATTTGCTCCATGGGATTGCCGGCACCGAGGCCAACCAAGCCTAACGCTAGGCTCGACACCAACAAGGCTAAGGATACGAGCCAACCCAAAGAAACTCAGTGCACATCTCACAGCCGGCCAGCAGCACACAGCAATCCCTTGCGGCATATGAGCAAGCGTTGGTGAGCGCGAGACTGTGACCAACCAGAATAGGGGCTAAAATAAAGGGGCGGGCCAAACAGAGCGCTGGCAACCGCCCGCCGCCTCCGCACGGTTCTGGAAGCACTGGCGCACCAACAATACCAAGCTTGGGTCCGCCTATAGGACGATGCAAAATTGGGCGCAGACGCAAGCAGGGCCCCCGTGTTGGCCTCGCGGCGCGCACGAGCGGAGGATGCGAGAACGACGGGACTATAGAGGCTGTGAGCGTTGTGGCGTTTGCGCCTCCACTGTGGTCACGCCGCGCGCGCAGCGTCCCATTGGCACGACGGCTTATTGCCCGCCGTTGCTTCAGCTAGCCAGTAGGCGCGCGAGCGTCCCCTTGCGTGGGCGTTTGGGGTCTACCGTTTTAGCGTTGGCCGCCTTCCTCCTTTGGTCGATTTTTGTTTCTTGGTGGCCCCCACTGGCGAGTGCAGACACACGCAGCGGAAAGCTCTCCCAGGCACGCGTCATACACTCCGTCTGCGGCTGGCCTGACGGCGGTACGGCGGCTCAAGCTCCCCAGACAACTGGCTGCCAGAAGCGGCAACAGCTATTTGCTGGCCCGGCAGCACCTAGACGGCAATCACCCGCCGCACAGGCCTTGGGCAGACAACTCCTCGGTTGAGATTTGGGAGTGGCGACGGCTCTATGCCGATCCATGGCGGCTGCTCGGTCCCACGGCACTGACCCGGCACAGACCACAGGGAGGGCTTTGTGGCGATCGGCCAGGACTTCTGTATCTTGGTCATGACGGAGAGCAAGCAGAGGCTCACCTCCGTGGCGGAGAAGGCCCTTACCGGCCCGCATCGATCACGGCGTATAAAGATCTCTTGAACGGCATCATATGGGACACCATTTTTTACTCCATCATCACCATCAACCGATTCACTCACTGGTCTTTCAACACTCTCTTCTTTTTGCACTTTACCAACACCTTCACTTGAACCCGCAGGTCGCTCGTCAAATACAACCTCGCTTCTCTCTATCCAACTTACAAAACGCACTCTTTCAACCATCATCACAATGGGCAATATCAGCAAGCTCATTCTCTTGTCGCTCGTGGCAACCTCCACTGTTGTGGCGTCCCCTGTGCGGGTCCCCGGCTTCCGTGACCTGGTATGAATTCCTTAGGCTATCGGACTACCTCAATGGCCTCCTCTGATCAATACCAACACTCTCTGCACTCTTTAAGGCCATTCTTCCCCGCGGCGATTACGGCAACGGTGGAGGTGGTGGTGGTAGCCCTGGCGGCGCCGGTGGCTCCAAAGGTCCTGGCGGTCCCGGCGGCTCGAAAGGCCCTGGCGGCCCAGGTGGCAACCCTTGCGACTACCCGAGCAACGCAAACAACCCCGCCTGCGGCGGTTCGGGCTCCTCGCCGACGGGTCCAGGCGGTCCCAAGGGGCCCGGAGGGCCCGGCGGAAACAACGGCCAGGTGAACTGCGACTACCCTAGCAACCGCAACAACCCTGCCTGTACCGGCACCGGGTCCTCTCCCAGCAGCCCTAGCGGCCCTAAGGGCCCTGGCGGAAACATGGCCAGGTGAACTGCGACTACCCCAGCAACGCCAACAACCCGATGTGCTTCCCGCCCGCCCCCACCGCCACCACCCCGACCGACAACAGCAGCCAGCCGACCGACACTACGACGCCGACGAGCAGCTCGTCCCCCACCGAGGAGACCCCGTACCCCGACACCGGCCACAACTCGCAGAGCCCCTCGCCCCAGGACACTTCCGACTACACCGACGGCTCTTCCGCCCCCACCGACAGTGGCTCCGGCGACAACTAGAGTGGCTACCCTCAACCAAGGGGTGCTTCTATCCAGCTCACTAGGCGTGGGCAGCTTCCCACCTCGGCTGACATCTATGCACGCTCATTGCTCACATACCTCAAATGGTTTTTTTCTTTTCTCGTCTCTCGTTCTGATCTGCATTTCACGGAGGATATCAGAGGCCAGTCGCTCATCACGCTAATTTCGGCCTTGTGCACACAACAAAAGAAGGATTGCTCTGTTTCGATTCATGGTGGCGGAGCGTAATCAGTTTCTGGAGGACTCGTTACTCTTGTTTTCGGCAAGCCTTGTCTTTCTGGGTGGTTGTTCTTCCTTTTCTCATGTCTGATGGCATCGAGCCAAAGCACGGAGATTACCGTCAATATAGCCATATTCTGGCCATGACGCTCGCACTTCGTATTGATGAAACACTGGCAAGAGTTCCAGCCAGATCAAAAGCCACCATTGATTAACACTAACATGGATGAATCAAGAACCGAGGAGAGCAACCACCAAAATCGCAGACAACCAATTCATGTAAACAAATCAAATGAACCGTCGCCGCCTCCTACACCACTAAAGAAACAGAAGGGTATCAAGAAAATAGCGGCAGGATATCAAAGTGCGGTATACTGCCACAAGGTACGAGTGCCAGGAGCCGAGACAGCAGCTCCAGGCTCGTTCGTACTGCAGTCTTTGAGACAATGCGTCAAGCGATCAGCCGGAGTCGCCGAGGACACCAACCATCAGCGCCCCACGCCTATTGGGGCTGCCCTCCCTGGTACGGCTGCTGCTGGTATTGCTGCTGAGGCGGAATCTGCTGCCCGTACTGGTTGGGCTCAACATATCCGGTCTGGCCATGCTGGGGTGGGACCTGTTGCCCATATTGGTCCGGCTGAGCGTACGCGGCTTGGGGCTGCTGGGACACCTGGGAAAGCTCGTGGCCGGGCTTGGGCTCGCCGGCCTCGGGGCCGGTAGTGCCGGCGGCGGGGGCCTTGGCCTTGCGATACTGGATGAGAGAGATCACTACGGCGTGTGAGATTGTTGTTAGCCGAGGCACCTTGGGCAGAGAACGGGACCGACAAAAAACGATCAAGGTGGAGGAGGGAGGGCAGCGCACCGAAGAAGACCAGGGTGGCGACGAAGAGGAGCCACGTCAGAGCCCCGACACCAGCAGCACCCTTGATGCAGCCGGCAGCCGTGTTGTACTGGGCGGCATCGCGGTAGCCCCGGACTGTACCAAGCGCGCTCCCGTCGGCGGCAAGGGAGGCCCAGGTGGCAAGCCAGAAAATGACGCACGCGATCTCGACGCCGCTGAGAAGAAGGAAGGCAAGGGAGGTTAGCAAGGTGCGCAAGCAGATGACGCAGACAGAGAGCATAGCAGACACAGTGCATGCAAAGGAAAAACGTACAGCTGGGCCCAGTAGTTGTAGGCGATGGGGAACGCGAGGATGCTGATTGCGAGCCATCCGATATGGATCAGTGTGAGGGCGAAGGTGAAGGCCGCGATCCCCACGCTTGCCCACTAGAAAGCACCCAGCACGTGGCGTTCTGGTCAGCCCGGCTTCCTGGGAGAGCACGAGGGGGCAGTAAAGGCGGATCTCGCTATGAACTTACAGAGGAGCCGAAGTACGAGGCGCCAACGGCGACCAGGATCAGGGTCAGGAGAGCAAACAGCAGTTGCACCACGCGGATGATGGCGATCCAGATGGGCGTGGGCGGGACGTGCGAACGGTCCAGGCCGTCGTCGCCGCGAAAGTTCCAGAAGTTCCCCTTCATGACCACCATCTTGACGGTTGCTGCGCTTACGCGAGAGGTTTTCTGGTTGTCTTTTCCTTACTGGGGACAGTGAGATGGGAGGTCGGGCCGCCGGATGGGGTGTACAAGGCAGAGAAAAAGGAGGATGGGGGAGTTCTCCAAACGGGCTTATGTATTAAATTGGATGACAACAACAAGACGCCCTTTGTTCGAATGTTTATACCGCCCGAGCCGTTTGCGTGGAATGGCAGAGCTCAACAGGTCGCCAGCTTCGTGGGTGGCTTGGCTTGGAATGCTCACAGAATGACGATGCGAGGAGCACGCAAAAAAGTTGTAGCCCAGGCTAGGCCGCCTCGCGTATTTGAAGGAAGTAACGAAAGCACACGGTCTGGACCTGGCTTGCGTCAACCCCCATCCCCAAGGGATGATGACACCACAACCAAACGGAACTCTCTTTGCTGCGCATCTCTATTGCAGCCAACGAGAGTGGAAGAGATGCGGACAACTAACAAGGGTGTTTTTTTCAGCTGGCCGGGGTGAGGAGTCGTACCCGCACGTTGGAGCCCTCCCAACCAGACAAGCTAAACCCAAAGCGAGAACGTCAGTGGCGATCCCATCTCGGGTGGCTTGGAACGGCTTGCAGCGACGCGAGAAAGATGCCGGCCACGCCAGCTGCCCGCCAAGCCGAGGCGCGCTGGTCATTGGATCTCCCACGGCGCCTCCATCGCTAGATCGATCGAGGCCAAGCGCTAGAAAGCAAAGATACACCTACCCCCCACATGGGCTTTCTTTAGAGCGGTGACATTGGCGCCTCAGCGAGCCCAGCGACGACGACGTTTGCACAGGTCAGTGAATTTCCGATCTGCAAAGGCTCTTTTGTTTGCATGGCGTGACCTGGTCATTAGCGTGGTGCGACGCAATGGGAGTTCTCCGAAAGCGGAACCGGGCCAATCAACTGCGCCGCCCTCGAAAGCTTCCCAGTAAGGCCTGCCTAGACCCCGCATTCCAGGGAGCAGGTGGGATGCCCACCACGGGGAGGAGGGGTAGTCTGGAGTCCAAGAATAGTGCTCGGGCCTGGGTATCGACCCCGAACCCAGGCGGCTAGAGCGGACAAGTGGCTCTGCTCATTGCCTCGTTGTCTGTGCCATGCGTTGCGAAAGCTGGTGGGAACTAGGCACCGCAAGGCAGAGACAGGGGAGTTTCGGAAGCAGCATCTCCTTCAGCTGATCTGCCTGGGCTGTCCACAGACCCAAATCGTCAAATCCAAGCCCGGCAAGCACTGCGACGGTCTCGGGAGTTGGTGGAAGTGTGGTCACACCACGGAAAAGCTGCATTGTTGATCAAATATTGCCCCACCGTCGACTGCCGCATGCGGTAGTCACAGTGGGGCCGCCTCGTAACCGTCCAATGGTGTTTCTCCAGGTGGGTCGGGCTGAGCTACGTCCTGACCATGTGTTGTTCAGCTCGAGGCAGCTTTCTCTCTTTGCGACATCGTGACTGGCAAAGACGCGACGACAAGCGACCGACACTTTCCGACGACCCGCCAGTCGGACAGATGCAGCCGTACCCAACCCGAGACAGAAAACGGTCCTACCAGCGTGCTCTGATGATTGGAGTTTATTTGCGGTTGCGGTACCTACTAGTCAGCAACCGGTTCGTGGTTCTCACGGACGTCCATCTCTTACCGGATAACAGACCCGACACCCCCCATCACATAATCTGGCACAAACGGAAGTTATCCTTAAAGAATTGAATGATGCGAACCTGCATGTCGGGGACATGCATGGCTGGGTATAATTGTCAAAAATAGCAGCCGGGCCAACACATCATGAAGAGGACCGCAACCCGGGCAAGACGTTCGCGCCGGCTGAACGCCATCCGGGCCGCGCTCCCCCGTCTCCAAACGTTTCCGAGTCCTGTTTCTCAAGAAACCAAGAAAAAGTCCAAGGGCCACCCGCAGCCTCTATCCCCCTTTCCCAAGTGATAAAAACATTACGCTTCCTTTCCAGTGTTCTTCCAATGTAAAAAGTGCTTGTTTGATCATCCTTCCATTTACTGACGAAGGCGGCACAGAGGACGGCCACGCTCGAGCACGGCGGCGTTGCAGGTAAGCCTGTTGTCCTCGATGCAGGTGAGGCGCGTGCCACCTATACGGAGAAATATTAGTCAGCGGGTGGTCGTCGCGAGGCTAACGATCGACAACAAGACAAAAACTCACAGTTGTTGACACCGGCGGGCACGCAACGTCCGTTCTGGCCGTTGACGCGGCACACGTCCTGCTTGAGGGACGTGTTGGCAACGCAGCAAGCACCGTTGGGGACAGGGCCTGTGTCATTGGTCGGTTAGCGAGGACATCCTTTTTGGCCAGAGGTGATTCGTGATGAGAGTGGCGGAAAACGTACGGTTGGCGTTGGCGCCCTGGCGCTCCATGAGGCGGACCTCACGGCGCTCGACACCCTGCTCAGGGGTCTCCACGGTGGCGGCGGAGACAACGGCGACGAGGGCCAGGACCGAGGCAAGAGTGAACTTCATTTTGGCGGTAGGGAGGAAGAAAAGATGGAAGATCAAAAAAACGGTTGGAAGAGTGAAGATATTTTTGTCCGGCCGGCGGGCTTGAGAAGCGTAATGTGAAAAGTTGGGAAAGAGGAAGGGAAGAGGTCGTCGTCTGAAGATGCGAGCGTGGGGACAAAAGAGAGCAAGAGGTATCACCATCCAGGACGAAGGCGCACTTTATACTCGCCATGGAGGCATTCGACCTCTTCAGAAACCGGCAATCCGCGGAAGAGCCTCAACCTTGATCCTCGGCTCCGATCCGCCGTCACCTCCCATCTCCATCACAACCTCGCCTGTGATGTGCTAGCAAGGCCCCCTCGCCCTAGGGGGACCACAGTCCCAAACGAAAATAGGGGCCTGCCCAGAGGGGCGGGGCAGAAATTCCACCAAGGAGGATCTCACGAGCCTCATCCACCCGCCCTCGGCGCGCTTGCCGACGCTGTTGGCCACCCAGCACGAGCAGGGATGCATCGCCGTTGTTGACCGACTCCCAGGGGGCTCTCGAGGTTAAGCATACAATGAGCGGGCCCGGCCGAACCGACGTGATTGGATACCACGGGGTCAAGCGACCAATGTGGTGTGGGGTACCCCTTTTGGTTTGGGATCCTCCCCCGTCAGACGCCCTGAAACAGCTGGCATGAGACGCGAAAGGAGGCGTCGCAGTCGCCGCCGCGTCGGTTTGCTGACCCCACTGACAGAGAAGATGTGGAAGGTGAGGGAGATTCGTCCAATGTCATTGTGGTGATCGAACTGGGCTTCTCCCGCTCTCCTGGGACCGTTGGGGCGATCATTGACCATCTCCCGCCTCGTCAACCAAAGCCGGAGTCGTGGCGATCATGCCTGTGATGCGCACATGGGAGTGCCTGCCCGCCCGGCTCTGCATGCCTCACTTGAAGATTGCCTATTCGAAAGAGTGGTAGGGGCGATGGAGGTGGCGACGGTCTGCATCCATGCGCTTTTAGCACATTTTCTGAGGGCTTTTTGGAAAAGTTTTACATATAGGTACACCTAGCCATGTGTTTTACTCCTTTTTTTCTTACTTTTTGGTATGAGGTCATGGGCGCGAGTATGCTATCCGCACAACCAGGGGTTCTTTTTCTCACGGCCATGCCCGTCTTTATGATACCGCCTCGTAACGCTGGAAAGCCGTGCCCAGTGTTGATATTCTTTCACTTGGGCGTCGGCCCGCACGGCTTTTGAGGACGAAGGCTGCCCAGGCCGAAGGGATCACTTCGTCGAACCAGTGATTCTTTTGAAAATATTCGTCACGCCAAATGGCCGTGTCCTCGGTTTCCATTGCCTGCCAGGAAATCCTGACCCATGCCACGATTCATGCCCCTGCCAAGGGTCACTGACAAGCTGGAACGGCTGCGCCAAGGTCGATTGCCGCGGGGGATCGGAGATGTCTACTGCAACCACTCCCCCTGGTCGTTGCCGAAGGCGGTTGTGCCCGAAAGGGAATTCATGAGAGATTGGCTGAAACCAACCTTCCTTTGACCATCGTGCCATGACGGAATACGCGGCCTGGAGGCCGCGGGCGTCTGAGCTGTCGCACCACCAAAGATAGGCTTTTGTGAGGGCCAGGATTCTCAACAAGAGATCAACTCCTCCTTTTCGTGTCAATCTCTTGCTTGAAGTACTCGTCGCAGTCGCCAAGGCCAAACACAAGGCACATGCACTCCTCATAGGCGGGGCAGCTGTGCACAAAGGGAAAAAAAGGCGACATGTCAGCGGACGCATTGTAAAGGAGAGACCAAAGACACAATTTCCATCTTTTAGCCAATTGGGGAACAAAACTTGCTATTCGGCCTTTTCCCCTAGCCAGATCGCCCAAGTATACTCCATCAGCCTCCCGCTGGCCATGCTATCAAGCGGCGTGTGCAGCAGCCAGTCGCGCAGCCGAGCCCACCACTCGCGCGGGCGCGCGCGGATCGCGGCGCGGCTGGCCGCAAACTGGGCGCAGCAGGGGGCGGCCAGCCTCCTGGGTACCTCTTCACCCCTACTGCCAAGGAACTCGGCGAGCAGGGTCGCGAGCATGCCCTCCCTGGAGGCGCCCGGCGCGCCGAAGCGGGCGAGCGGGACCGCGCGCCCGGGGACGCCCGGGACCGTCATGACGTTCTCGCACCCGGGCAGGCAGCGGGCGCTGGCGAAGCCGACGGCGGCGACGTGCGCGGCGCGCAGGCCGCGCACCTGGGCGGCCGCGTCGTGGCCGCCCTGGTGCCAGGCGCGGTGGTGGCCGTGGCGGAAGAAGACGACGTCGGGGAGGTCGTCGTAGTGCGCGACGATGTAGGTTAGGTAGACCATGGCCTCGTTGCCCTTGTTGGCGGGCACGGCGAGGCCAGGGGAGAGGGGCGCGTCGACGACGTAGTGGAAGACGTCCCAGCCGCCGCCGCCGCCGCCCTCCCGTCTCGGTATCGAGGCCAGCCAGGAGGTGTTGTCCTTGCTGGTGGAGGCGACCACGAGCGCTTTCGTCAGTTGTGGTGGAGATGGTGACGGCTTGGTTGTGGTGTGCAGAAAGGCACGCGCGATCACGGATAGGAGTGTAGCGAAGAGAAGAGGGCGCGCAAGGAACGAGACTGCGCGCCGCACGCGGCGGAAATGGAGAGTGCCCATTGCCCCGTGGTGTGCCGGTACCTTGGAAATATTATAGTGAGGAAGCTACTCCTCTCAACCATTTTCATCGGGTGTGGTTCTGCAAAAGAAATGCAAAAGATGGGTGTTATAAATGCTTAGAGCATTGCTGCTCACCCATTTAGCCGTTGGGCACTTGGCTAAGACCCTCTGTCGCAACTCCTGGGATCCGGTCGATCTCCGGCAGCTCGTAGGAGTCTTCTGTTGCCACATTCGTATCTTTGTCGTTCGTCAGTCATTGCATAATACTATTCAGATTCGTTACGAATACCTGCTCACCTAACCTGGCTTTCGTGGTAAAACTATTGGCCATTACAATACAAGTTGAATGTGGTTGTAATGACCAGTGACCCCCTTGCCTCAAACAATGTGAGGACAATCTAAAGAGTTTTTCCTTCCTTTCGGCCGTATTGCCCAGGTCATATATCTTCCGGGGCATTCCTCTTTACCGCCAGCTTCAGCTCTAAAACGCACACACAAACAGACACACCAGCAAACTATATATCGTACCAGCGTTATAAACCACCTCAACACAAAGCCATATCATCCATTATGGGAGCCTATCTTTCCTATTGCCGTCGGATATCTACTCCCCCTTTGCCATGCACAGTCCACATGGGCCTTGCTGATGCGCCCTCGACGCTCGACCCAACATGCGCGGAAGTCTGGAACTATGCCGACTACGACGCCCAAGACAGGAGGAACAAGGTATGTGCCTCTTTGTAGATATATATATACCTCCAGCATCCCCGCTCCTCTTGCTCTACGGCAAGCTCCGGTTCCTTTTGCACATCCTACCCACATATACAGGTGCCTGACACTATGATATCCTCCAGGCTTGCTTCGAAGTCCGTCGACTCTTTCTGCACGCCGGCATCTCCTTGCACCACCGCGATTGTTGTCGATACATCCTGATCCACACGTACTCGGACTGGGTTTCGACAGCGGGCCAAGCGATGACTTTGTGGTTAAGGATCCTCGACGACCAGAGCTCGGCCGAGAAGGGCACTCGCTTAATGAGCGAGGCACCGGATGTAAGCAGTGTAACACGATGATCAATCCCTATCCAGGTAGCTTGCTGACCGAAACCATCCAAATAGATCGTGTTTGATGCCAAGATTTGGGGCCGAATGTTGAAGGCGTAGTATGCCTCGGCAGACTACCAAATCGAGCAGACCAGATACCAGGCCGAAGTAGCGGAACTGGAGGCAATGTTTGCACGAGAGATTGCCTCGCTACACTCTAGGGATGGTTCGGTTGCCGGACTAGAGGAGGCAACGAATGCCGTGGATGGAGGTGCAGTGGATGGCGCTGGGGCTTCGCAGAACTAAGCGAGGGCAGCCCAGGCAATGGATGGCAGATTTGGCAGCTATGGCGAGTCCTGGAAAGAACTCAGAGGTGGTCGAGATGGTAACAACCTGGGTGTAATTACAATAATTCTTTGCCTACGCTTTCGATTGGTATCCAATTCACTATCTTCGGCATGGCCTGTCTGCTTGGGCAGAATTCTTTGGTGATTCGACGTGGTGTGGTTTTGCCAAGCCACCCGCAGCCTCGAAGTCATGGTGGCACGGGCCAAATGGTACGTGGTACCGAGCCGAACAAGATTCGTCCCGCCTCGAGCGCTTCGATGCGAACTCTGGCCCAGGCACCAGCAACGCTCCAAATCGGCCTTTCTCATTCCGGCCGCACAACCGATTTGCGAAAATGGGAATAATTCGCAAGACCTTGCTCGTCGGCACCCTGACGGCGGCCACTGCGGTGGGCTACCTGAACTCCAGCACCGTCGTTGTCCAGCCACTGCCGCCACGCGACCCTTTGTTCTCGAGCAAGTTGTGGAAGCGCAGCAACCCCAACAAGAACCAGGCAACCCAGGACATCTGCCTCAAGCACATCCCCCTCGACGACATCCGACCCGAGCTCCTCGAGCGCGAGGGCGACCTCGTCCTCGAGTTCTGCCGTGGCGTCTGGTCCAGCCTCGGTTAGTTATGCCCAAGCCTAGCTAGGCATCACGCCACCCCCGCACGTCCTGCCCGCGCCGACATCTCTAACACTCCCTATCCCAACCAATCCAGGCTACGAGGTGCAGCGCCGCTATCTGGAGCGCAAGTACTCCAACGAGTCGACGGCCACGGACCTGTGGTCGCGCGAGCAGCTGGCCGAGTCCGACTACGAACCCGGCACGGTCATCACGGACCACTTCGAGGTGGTGGAGAGGACGCCGACGTCCATCACGGTGCGCTGCGGCGACTCGCCCCGCAACTCGGGCCCGCGCGAGTCGGACGGCCTCTTCACCTTCTCGGCCCGCATCGACCACGACAGGGGCCTGGCCGAGCTCGGCCTGAGGAGCGCCTTCTTCAACAGCGCGCGCAGGCTCGAGGGCCCAGACACCGGGCCGGGCATGGGGCGCTTCATGTTCGAGCTGCACATGCTGTACTCGAGGCTGTGGATGGCCGCTGGCCACAGGAGGGTGCTGAGGTGATCCGAGCCCTTTGCTCCCGTTGTGCTTCTCGTCTCGAAAGGGAAGCCGTCGCGGTGCACAGAGATCGAACCGTTGGTGCAATCCCGTATTACATAGGTACTTTGCGTCTTATCTCCCGTCACATCAGATGCCCCCCTTGTCCTAGTCTCAACTCCATCTGCAGAGCGAGTTGGCACACGTTCACGCCTCCTCCTCGTCCCGGCTCCACTGGGGACCGAGAGGGGCTGAACTCTGATTGCCGCCAAGTGATAGTGCCGCAGACCCCCATAGTGAGATAGATGCTTGTGCAGGGTGAGGGGTACATCGGCAGTGGCGCGCTACTGGCGGGGTCTTCCCGACCTCGTTGGTCCACAGGCTGGCCGGGAGGATGGGATATGTCAAAGCGGCAGGCTGCTGTCCATCCCACCCTTGACGAAAGCGAATCTGGCGCGATCAGAACAGACCAAAGTCAGGGTCCTGTTCCCCGGGAGGCAGGCAAATTGGAACGATCGTCCAAAGCTGACACACCTCCGTTTATCCATGCATTTTTATCCGTGATGCGAGGACAGAGCCCAGGGCTGCACATACGTCATTGCGTGCTTCCGTCGACGGGTGCTGCACATTCCCGGCCTCGCTCGCGCCCAACCCCCTTCAGCGGATGTCTGCTCATAAGTGGTCCCCGCATGCAAAGCCAAGATAGTGACGCCAGTGGGCGGATCAGTGGGACCGATTCCCGCTCCCCTCCCCGACCCCGATTCTCCATCATTGATCACACGTAGCCACACCTGCGCCGATATATATTCATATCTAGATTGACGGCGTCCGCCAACCCCTTGTTTGTGGTTTTGTACCTCGGGCGGCAGTCTTGCTCTGAAGCCACACCACACGGGCCAACTCGATACGCTTCCACCAACACCATAAGTCAGCAATGGCCGGTCACGGCGATTCCAACCAGGGGGCCGCTGCTGCCAGGGCCCCCGGGGCGACGCAGCTAAAGGGAGCCGTGAACGGAGCGCCGGCTGCTGCCGCCGCCCCTCCCCCGTACCAGGCCCACCCCCTCGGGCCGCTCTCGGGCGACGAGATCAGCCGCTCCTCGTCGTTGATTCGCGCGGCATGGCCCGAAGGGACCAAGTTCCAGTTTAAGGTGATCACTCTGCTTGAGCCGGCCAAGGCCCAGCTCATCCCTTATCTCGACGCCGAGAGAAAAGGCCAATCGCCGTCCAGAATCGACCGCCGCAGCTTCGTGGTGTACTACATCCGGAACACTGTCAGTCGCCGGCCCTATCGCTTTCCAGAGCATGCCCCGCTGCTCCCGACAGGGCGTGTTGTTTCGATCACGTCGGGTGTCACACTGACACGGCCAAAACCGCCCCGAACAGCACAAACTCCACGAGGCAGTCGTGAACCTCAGCCAGAGCCTGGTCGAGAGCAACGTGCTACTTGGCCCCAACCAGCACGCCAACGGAGACGGCGAAGAGTTGACCGCCATTGAGGAATCCATCTTCAAAAATGCCGAGCTCCAAGCTGAGATTGCCAAGCTGAAGCTCCCCGAGGGGACTGTGCTTACGGCTGACCCCTGGATCTACGGTTCGTCCTCTGCCCTCATCAATTCCCCAGCGCGCCGGCACCCTCCGGGCGGCAAGACCGCGGCCTCTTACCAGCAGTCGTCACAGGCTCGGACGGCGTCAACGAGGGCAACTTCAGCGACGAGAAGCGCCTGTTCCAGGTGTTCCTGTACATGCGGGACCCCAAGAACCCGTCGCAGGAGGATGGTTGCCACTACGCCTTCCCGCTCCCCATCTCGCCCGTCGTCGACCCGACGACGCTCGAGGTCGTGCGCATCGACATCCTGCCGACAGGCCTCGACGAGAAGGTCAAGCCCCTGGAGCCCTGGGCGCCGGTGCCGCCCAACGAGTACGTCCCCGAGGCCCAGCCGTCGATGCGCTCGGACCTAAAGCCCCTGCGCGTGGTCCAGCCCGAGGGCGCCTCCTTCCGGGTGTCCAACTTCTCCGAGGCCGGCCGCCAGGTCTCGTGGCAGAAGTGGGACCTCAAGGTCGGCTTCAACCAGCGCGAGGGCATGGTCCTCTACGACGTGCACTACGACGGCCGCCCCCTCTTCTACCGACTCAGCCTCAGCGACATGTGCATCCCCTACGCCGACCCGCGCCACCCGTTCCACAAGAAGGCCGCCTTCGACCTCGGCGACGTTGGCGCCGGCATAATGGCCAACAACCTGGCCCTGGGCTGCGACTGCCTCGGATCCATCTACTACATCTCGGGCGTCCTGAACGACAGCGAAGGCCAGCCGGTCGCTTATCCGAATGTGATTTGCGTCCATGAACAGGACGGTGGCTTGCTATGGAAGCACACAAACGTATGTGTTTTGCCAGTATTCTCTGATAATTTTCCTCTTTGGGACGGAAAAGCGTTTCATGGCTAACCATATTTTTGCTTCGATAGTACCGCACCAACCGAGCGTGCGTAACAAGGGCAAGAGAGTTGGTTTTGCAAACAGTTCTCACTGTGTCAAACTACGAATATATCCTTGCCTGGATCTTCAACCAGGTACGTCGCCATCCCCAACTACCCGGGCATGCGTATCCCTCCCGCTAACATGACCATCATAGGCGGGTGATATAACGTACGAGGTGAGGGCAACGGGCATTTTATCGACCCAACCTGTCGACCTCGACCTCACAACCACGCCGCACCCCTACGGCACCGTGGTGCACCCGGGGGTGCTGGCGGCGCACCACCAGCACTTCTTCAGTCTACGCGTGGATCCCATGGTGGCGGGCCACGGCAACACGGTCGTGTACGACGAGACGGTGCCGCTGCCGCGCGACGCCGTCGCCAACCCGCACGGCGTGGGCTACACGGTGCAGAGCAGGACCGTCGAGACGTCGGGCGGGTTCGACCTGGACGCGTCGCGCGGGCGCGTGTTCCGCATCGCCAACGAGGCGGTCCGCAACCCCGTCAACGGCCACGCGGCCTCGTACAAGATCCAGGTGCCGCCCATGCAGCCCATCCTGGCCGACGCCGACAGCTTCCACCGGCGGCGGGCCGAGTTCGCCGACCGGCCCCTCTACGTCACGCGCTACGCCGAGGGCGAGCTGTACGCCGGCGGGCTCTACACGAACCAGAGCCGCGGCGGGACGGGCGTGCGCGCCTGGGCGGATCGCGGGGACCCGCTCGCCGCCGGCGACGCCGTGGTCTGGGTGCAGTTTGGGCTCCAGCACGTGCCGCGCGTCGAGGACTTCCCCGTCATGCCGTGCGAGGTGCTGCGCGTGTCGCTAAGGCCCGTCAACTTTTTTGATAGGAACCCGGCGCTCGACGTGCCGCCCAGCACGCAGGACTTCAACCGCAGCGTCGCGCTCAACAGCGGGGCCGCCGCGGACGCTAAGCAGGGCGGCTCGGACAAGATGCTCGGCGGCCATGGCGGCCAGCTCAGCGGGTGTTGCGCGACCCACGGAGCTGCATGAACCGGGCTTTTTATTCTGTGGCTGTTGGCTCCTGTTGTGTGATGTGGACGGTCTTGGACGCTCCCTAGCGACGTCGAACCATTCAACTGTGACAAGCCTAGACCCTAGTCATGCTGTCGACTGCATGGTAGTTATCTTGTTTTTTGTTCTGCGGGACTGGGTATACCGTTGGTAGCCGGGCCGCCGTCCCAGCATGCTTTTAAGGCGATGGCCTCTTTGTTTGTAGCGTTGCGATGCAGAGCGACATGCCACCTGGGCTGCCTTATCAAAGAATCACTCAACCAAACATGCGAGACTACCACAGGGACGAGGAACGTGCATACTATTGACTGATTTCCTTTGGGACGAGCCAGCTCGGCGTGCTGTTCAACCCCTGTAAAGCAGTGCAGCTCGCCCGCCAGCTAATTTGCTGCCCTCCTCTAGGCTGGTGGCCCGCATGCAGGCATCCGCCAAAGTCCTTTGCGGGCATGGCAGTTCGGGAACTCGGCACGGCATGTAATCACAAATTCCTGGGTCTCGTCAGCAACTTCCCTTATCTCTTCATCTCCCTCCTACTACCGCGATTGCTGATGCGGGGCTCAGAATTTCAACGTTGAAGAAGAACGGGGCCTGCCAAGCACCCCGGAGTGACTGTTGGTGCTGCAAGCCCTTTGAACGCCAAAGAAAAAAAAGCTTGTGGGTCGTGATACCCACCTCGACCGGCGCCTGATTGGAGCGCGATAGGCGAAAGGGCGGGTGCTGATGCGACGCCGATGGCGGCCGGGGCCCACAGCTCGTGTGCCAGCCACTCAAGGCGCGCTGCACGCTTCAGCTTTGAGCCGCCCCACATTGGGCGCTTTTTGCAGGGGCTTCCAGGCCATTGATCGTCCCAACCCTCGCCCGATAGACGCTCCCCCCCTGCCGCCGCCTGCGCTTCTGATTGCTGGCCTGCCCTCCGTTTTCGACATCCCTGTCTTCAGCCCTGTCGCACTAGGAGCACACTATCAGGACGGGTGGACGGGTTGGGGCACAATCCAGTGTCACTTTCAGCTGTTGGGACTTGGTCTCCTTCCTCCCCCCCACCCCGCCTATGGCGCTGGTCTCGTGTGATGCTTGGATGGCTCAGCTCGTCATTAGCACAAGCCCACTGGCGCACTAGCCCACCCCTTCACCGTTTTCTCTCTTCCTGCCTCCGATCCAGCTGCGGATACGCCATGCCCCTGTCCTACCTGGGTCTCAGGCAGATGCCAAGCATGCTGGTAGCTGCCGGTGTTGGGGGCGGTGGCTGGCTGGCGACTGCTTAAATCTCCTCGCATCCCGCTTCACCCAGCTGGGAGCAACAAGACTCGCCAGCTGCACGCTTTGCGTCCAGTCTCTCCAACACCCCGCTGTGGCAGTCCATCCCATAATCACCATGAGGAACTACTCTATCCAGGTACCGGGGTACCATTATACCGGTATCGACGGCTGGCCAGCAATCGAGCAGATGCAATGGAACAGGTCCTGCCGGGCTTATGGCGAGTTCTTTGCCGCACTGATGCAACCCAACCGTTTCGACAAAACGTCGTCCGCGGGCTTTAGTCTTCCCTTGGGTATCACCTGGATGATAGAGTCCTTTCCCAAGGACTGGGACTTGATTGCGAATGTCATCCCCGACGTCGACCCCAACGTGAGGTACACGGACGAGCAGTTCAAAGACCTGCGGGTACACAAGTTGCTGGTGCAGTCCGGCAGGTATTTGAGCGAGGTTATGGCCGACAAGTCCCTTAGCGACTTCTTCATCGTCCAAGTGTTCAACACTTCTTACACTTGCCAGCCCGAGTCGTGCATGGCTCTCGCGTTGGGCGCAAATCCAGACATGACGGGAATAGGGGTAAGTCCAGCGGGACACACGCCGATGGCCGCCAGCTTCCCTCTATCCCCCCCTCTCGCCCGTCCATGCTGACGGCCAAGACACGCAGATCATGATTTCATACTACATCGAGGCCGGCCTTGCCACCCTGTTTTTAATCTTCTTTACCGTCCAAAGGTTCAAGCAATGGGCCAAGAAGAAAGCCATCCGCGCCGGCAAGCCCCATCGGGCAGAGACTTTCTCCAAACCTGTTGCGCGGCGCGTCATGGATGCCTTCCGTGGCACACTCGAGAGCTTCCTCCTGGCCGCCATCCTGCTCGCCGTCGCCATGCTTGTTGCAGGCATCTTCGTCATCGCCGAGAACATCGAGGACCGATACAAGGGCGCCGACGAGCACGAAATGATCAACGGCGCGTCCTACTACGACGTTCCCCTGTCGGTCCTCGCCTGCGCATTTGCCGTCTTCCCCGTCCTTGCCGCGTACTCGGTCCTGCGCCACCCCGGCCAGGGCGAGTCCGGCGCCCACAAAAAGTGGTTGACTCGCGCCTGTCTCATTGTCATCTGGCTCCTTGGGATCGCCGTGGTGTACATGGCCCCCTTGGGCGACCCCGACTTCAACCCAACCCCCAAAGAAGACCAGGCGAACAGAGAGGCGATGGAGCGGAGCGGACTGAAGGATGACCTCTGGTCCTGGTGCGACCATCGAGGAGGTAATGCTTACCGCAACGCCCTGAAGGCAGCCATGGGCCTGGTGGTGGCCGCTCCCCTGGTTTGGAGTCTCCTCTTCCTTTTCCTGCATACGGGCTTCCTCATCCCGGGCATTGCCGGCTCGAAAAAGCTCCGCATCTGGCTGCCGTGGTGCCGTCTGGCAATGGGATGGATCTGCCTTGCCTTTACCTGGGGCGTGCTCGCATATCTGCAATGGCTGCGACAAAAGCTCCGAGACGCGACCGGGAGGCTCGGCGATGACGGCAAATGGGGGTTTGGCCAGATCCTGGCGTTATCCGTCTGGGTCCCTGTTGTCTTTGAGTTCATCTACATCCTCCTTTGTAAGTGGCACCGGATCTTGGCCCTTTCGACCCCACCATTCAGATGCTGTACCAAACGGCTTGTGGACAGCCCAAAGTCCATGTGTATGCTGACCCAACGTTTCTCGCTTTGTAGGGGGACTGCAGGACAGTCTTTCCGGGTCTCTGCCCCCGGAGTATAAGGCCGTCCTCCGCATGGACCACCCCAGCCCCGAACCGCAAAACACACATGGGGGCTTTGGCTACGTCGGCGCCGGCCAGAACATGGACACAGAGCACAAGCCACACGGCGGGAGCGATGGCGGACTGCACATGTCGTCAAAGAACCTCCCAGGCGGCTACACCAGCGTCGTCTCGACCACGCCCGCCCTCGACAGCTTCTCCCCGCCTTCCACCATGTACGATCCCTACCAGGGCATCGCCCCGACGGCCGGCCGGCCGCAATCCTTCCAGGCGCCCGCGGCCACGGCCCAGCATGCATCGGGCCTGCAGAGCCCGCCGCAGACCCATGGCGCGTTCTATCCGCAGGACCCCATGCTGCCGACGTACTACCCGTCCCCACCGCCGGCCCAGTACCAGCAGGCGCCCCAGCCCGTGTCGCCGCCGCCGCAGATGACCCCGGAGCAGATGCAATATCTCCAAGCAGTAATGCAGCAGCAGCAGCCGCAGTTCAGGCATCCACCGCAGTAATGAGGGTGTTTTCTTTTCTTCCTGCTTAGCGTTCGGTCGGTGTCCAGGAGTCTTACTGTCCGGCCTATATTTAATTTCGTGGTCTCCGTCGTCTTCAGGTGGCTGCGCTTGTTCGCTCGCGTTATAGGCAATGGGCAAGCCCACGTGCAATAATAACTCGATGCTGATGTGGAGTTTCTGCTTCCCCTTGTTAACCTCGCTCACCCTTTGCATCAATGCTATTCGGATCTTACGACATGGCATAGTCCACGCACAATGAAGGCCTTGCTTATTAATTAGAGATATTCTTGACAAGACGTCGCAAGGGCTTTGATGTTACTGCACTGCATCACCACTAGCCAACGCATCATGATTTTTGTTGAGCCATGTGACAATATGCCAAGATGCCACCGCAGGGGGACGCCGTAAACACCACTTATGTCCCTAGGTGGTTTGCAGCGTAACGACTTTTGCACACAATCTGGATGACCGAACTCGCGTAATAGCTCACTCTCACATCGCGCGCCAATAATCAGAGCCAGGCTGTGCCCTTAATAATCAAAAATGAGCCAGAATTCGCTCAGAACATGTTAACAAGGAAGGAACGGTCCTCCAGCCCTCTCTGTCGCGCACTTACGCTCTGTAGGTGACCCAGATCAAGTGCTCTTTTCATCTCTTGACGCTGCACTCGCAAGTCGAGCTAATATAATTCGGTAGATTGCCATGCTTACGCCGGTGGCCGGTCTGAGTTCAACCTGTCATTAAAGCTGGCGGAAACCCAAACGACCCGTTTGGGGCGGGGGCCCATTTGGGTAATGGGTTTTTGGGTTTAGGTCCATCTGGGTAATGGGTCCAAAATTTGGGTAATTTTTAGGTCCAAACGAAAAAATTGGGTCCAAAACGTTATTACTTTTGTTATTACTTTTTTATTTTTTACGCTTAAAAATGATTATATATAAAAAAAAAAAGTAGCACGAGCCTTTTATTAATTTGGGTACCCATTGGGGACCCAAACTACCCAAAACCCAGAGTGCCAAGGACCCGTAAACGGGTCCCCGTTTGGGTTTTTGGGTCCAAGCCAGACCCAATACCCACGGGTCCAAACGGGGACCCATTTGTGGGTTTTCGCCAGCCTTACCTGCCATTCCTTGGCTGCATCTTCACCTAACCTGGAAATCGATCTCCGGGTAGTTTCTTAAACAAGCCACTTTTGTTAACACCAGCAAGTCCAGTTGCCATTGAGCATCGGAGTTCATGCTACTAGGACCTTATCTCGAGCTCCCAAAGTGCTGACATGGCCAGGTGTATCCATTTGAGATCCTCGTGCGCTAACGAAGTCTCTCTTTTGCCAGGCCGTCTGCGGTTCCCATGCGTGGATGTCTACGAGCCAGCTGTGAAACTATAGACTCGGGGTAAGTCCACGTATCACACGACTGAAGATATCTCGGGCACAGATCAGGACCTGACACAGCTGCGAAGCCATGCAGACCTCCCCCGTACAGCCTTTGACGAGTGAGGGACCGAAAAGAGTTCACTTCCGTGACCTTTTCCTTCTCTAAGCTAGCTACAGTCACTCACTAGAACAAATTGAACAACGAACCGGCCGCGTTTCAATGACGCTGTCCCACCATGCACCTAGTCTGTTGTGATGCTGCGACTACAGACCCTACACGTTCCCAGCAATCTTGCACCGGCCGATCCGGTCGCCCTCGGGATTCAGGCACACATCCTCAATCTTCCCCGTACCCTTGCAGTAGACGAGCACCTCCAACTTCCTGGGGCCGGCGTCCTCGCACACCCCCGGGATCTGGCGGCCCTCGAGCTTCGGCTTGGCGTCCACGGGAAGGCAGACGTAGAGCGTGCTCAGCCAGGCCTTGTCGGTGGAGTTTGCGGCCGCCACGGCCTGGCCACCGCTGTCCAGGCCGGAATGAGAGTGGACCTTGCCGGCGAGCCAGGCCTCCTTGACGGTCGTCTCATTGAAGCCTGGGGAGCATGCCGTAGGTTTTGGGGCCATGGTGAGCTGGAGGGGAGGGACTTTCCACCGACAGACATGGGAGAACAATGTGACCGGGGCGGGGAGTTCACGAACCTTGGTCCTCGAGGAGAATGTAGCCGCAGTATGTGGCGCCCGTGACGCAATGGGCGCCGTGGCCGCCCACGCCGGGAGCGTGCGTCGTGGAGTTGGTGGAGTTGGACTGCCCGCGGACGCCAAACGGATTCGAGACGGCGAGGAGGGGAAGCAAGGCCTGCGTCAGCTTGGACAGCATAGTGAATGGTTTATGAGTTGGACTGCACGGTGAGCTGCTCGGGGTATCTCGTTGATGTCCTGGTGGATATTATGCTTGGTACAGAGAGCAAAAAGAGGTGAGTCTAGCGACCATATATAGATCAGAAGACGAGCATATGGGCTATGATCTGTGTACGTGGTCGGAGCAACAGGCTTTGTTGGTGTTGCATGCCCAACAAAGAGCGTATGACAATGCTGGAAACCATTACGAAGCCTGTCGCTCTAGGGCGATACTCGGGCCAACCATCCGACTGCCGAACGAGCACCAGCAACCAGCAGGAGAAGGTGTAGCAGCTGCCTCGTTTCCCCTCGCGCCATCTAGCGATTCACGTTCTTTAACCTCTCCCCGTCCACCTCACCGAGTGTTCGGTACTGGGAGCCTACTGTCAAGTCAAGCCATATCTGGGGTAGATGGTATGACTTGGTGGCGCGTCGTGCAAGTAGAGCAAGTTCGGGACGCGTAGACGGCGAGTGGCCAGCGCACTCGGGAGTTGCATTTTTGTGGATGGTGTTGGCCGTGGGAGATGGGACACGACGAAGAGAGCAAGCTCACAGATGGAGGATGTACGTGTGGATGCTGTGTGATGCAATGCACCAGGCGGCCTTGATGGGTTCGAGTTCTATCTCGAGTGAGCCTACTCGGCACTTCCTGCCACTTTTCGTTGGTCAGAATCCATTGCGTGGTTTTTCTCGTTTTACCAGAGATTTGACTAGATGCGCCCTTCCTCAAACGGAACAATTGAGTAATACGCTCACTCGCCCACTTTGGCTCAACCCCACCACAGACTTCCAGACGTTAAGCTTGCACGGTTTGAAGTTTGTTCTGGCGACCACCCAATGAAGTAAAGCCGCAGGTGAGAGCACCGATCCAAGAAGCCACAGCAGGAGAGCCACGAGCCACGAGGACTACTCGTATCTCTATCTCAACCTCGCTCGAAAAAAAAAAACGAGACTTCTCACCCGGAAAGACCCACAATGGCATCGACCGAGGCAGCGTCGGCTTCGCCGGCCTCGCCGGTCATCAAGATCGGGACGCGGCGCTCGCCGCTGGCGCTCAGGCAGACGGAGCACCTGGTCGCGGAGCTGCAGAGGGCGCACCCGGGCCTCTCGTTCGAGGTGGTGGCCATCAAGACGCAGGGCGACAAGGACAAGGTGTCGCCGCTGCCTTCGATGGGCAAGGGCCTGTGGACCAACGAGCTCGAGGCCATGCTGGCGGCGGGCGAGGTGGACATGGTGCTGCACTGCCTCAAGGACATGCCCACCACCGTCCCGGCCGGCTTCGAGCTGGGCGTGATCATGGAGCGCGAGGACCCGCGCGACGTGGTCGTCATCCGGTCCGCCCTGGTCGCCGCAGCCGGCGCCCGCAGCCTGGCGGACCTGCCGGCCGGCAGCCTCGTGGGCACCAGCAGCCCGCGACGGTCGGCGCAACTGCGGCGGCGGCACCCGGCGCTGCGGTTCCGCGACTACCGCGGCAACATCGACACGCGCCTGTCCAAGCTCGACGCCGAGGGCGGCGAGTTCGACTGCATCATCCTGGCCGCGGCGGGCCTGCACCGCATGGGCCTGCACGGGCGCGTGTCGCAGTACCTCGACTCGGCGTCGGGCGTCCTGCACGCCGTCGGCCAGGGCGCGCTTGCCATCGAGGTGCGCGCCGGCGACGAGCGCGTGCTGGGGGTCGCGCGCGTCGTCGCGCACGAGGCCACGTCGGTCGCCTGCCACGCCGAGCGCGCCGTCATGCGCGCGCTCGAGGGCGGCTGCAGCGTCCCCGTCGGCGTCGAGACGTCGTGGGGCGGCGAGGGCGGGAAGCGGCTGAGGCTCAAGGCCACCGTCGTGAGCCTGGATGGCACCGAGGCCGTCGACGCCGACGACGAGGCCCTCGTCTCGACCGCTGAGGAGGCCGAGGCGTTTGGGAAGAAGGTCGCGCTGGACCTGGTGGCCAGGGGGGCGAGCAGGATCCTCGACGTCATCAACGAGACTCGACTGGCACCGCCGGTCAAGACGACTACTGCTGCATCTTGATTCGGGTCTTTGGTTTCTTTTTTCTCGCCCTGTATTTTTTCCTCACAGAAGCAGCTAGTCACACACTCTACTGAGAAAACAGGTACCTTCCCCCCAATTTACCTAGGTATCTGGTTTCACGCAGGGTAAAAAAAGAATGGCGCTGTTTCCATGGATTCATTCGGCCTTAACAGCCTCCCATTTGTCTATTTTACCTACTCTGCTACATTCCCCATTACCTCATGCAAGAGGCCCTTTCCACTTGCCGATCCAGGTTGAGCTATGGATTGTGTATGATTTGTGAGACCGATGTGCGCCACGATGACTGGAACCCCCAAAAGCCAAGACGCGAAAATTGAACCACTAGGAGACCCCGTCTCTCTGGGCCGACACACCCTAACGGCGTTGATTGTGCCTGCGCAACGTAATCCCGAGTAGCAGCGTACTCCCCTTAGTGCTCCTCGGTGGCGGTAAAGGCCTTGTACGCCTCGGCGTCCATAAGGCTGTCAAGGTCCTTGATGCCCTGCTCGTCGACCTCGACCTTTGCGACCCAGCCGCCGCCGTGCGAGTCGTCCTCGGGGACCTTGTTGATGGTGCCGGGGGCCTCCTCGAGCAGCTGGTTGACGTGGGTGACCTTGCAGCTCACGGGCGAGTTGATGTCGGCGGCCGACTTGACCGACTCGACGGCGCCCACCGTGTCGCCCTGCTGGACAGCCTTGCCGACCTCGGGCAGCTCGACGTAGACGACGTCGCCCAGCGCCTCGGCCGCGTACTCGGAGATGCCGATCACGCCCGTCTTCTTGTCCGCGCTGATGTCGATCCACTCGTGGTACTTGGTGTACCTCTTTATCGGGTCTGCGGGGGAGGGTTTTGGTGTTAGCACACAGGTGCGCGGGGCAGGCATCCAATGGCGCATCTAGGCTTTAGTCGTGGCGGGCAAGGAGGTATAGGGTGAAGTGAGCGCGGGAAAGCCGGGGGGGGGGGGGGGGGTCGACGTGACTTTGTGCCGTGGCGGAGAACCGGCGGATGGCGCCGAACCGTGCCGTCGCCAGGGCCGGAGCCGGGCGGGGGAGGATGGGGGCGACGGCGGGCCTGGCGGACCTCAGGCAGCGAGCAATTGAGGCCATTGTGGCGGTCGAGAGGGCGCTGGTACGGGGGAGGTGGAGGGTGCGTGGGGGAAGGGGAGAGAAACTAACTGCAAGCCCTTTGCTCGCAGGTCGGCCGGTTTTTGTCAAGATAATAAGGGAGCTATTCCGTCGAGTCGCAACAGCACGCCCGCCCGCCGTTCAATCCCGTCGGCCAACGGGCGCCGACGGATGGGCGGGCATGTGGGACAGCTGGCGTTGATAAGATAAGGTGCCCCCAGCTCCATCAGTCCTGGGCCGACAACCGGACCTGCCCGCTCAGGCCATTTTCCTGTGTTTGGAGAAGGCAGGCAATTGACGTTTGCTAAAAGTTGGTCATTCACTCGAGTTGAGCAAATCTACGCTGTTGCTGCTGCACCTATGGGCACTCGGTATAACAGCGAAGAACTGCCAGCATCACATTTACCAACCCGAGTTGAAAAGGGTTGAGCATCACATATCACATGGGCGCTCACTCTCACATTCTTCCTAGTCGCGAATCTCACCATGTATGACGCCACCGATCCACTTGGCAGTGAGGAGGCTCTTCTCCAACATGTGCTGCGCCTGATCAGATATCGGGGCTTAATGCATCTGAACGCTTACAGAGCGTTCGCTTGCTTCTAACCGCTTGACTATAATTGGCACCGAACACGCTCCCGTCCTCCTCGCTGCCCGTCATGCACAGCTTTTATTAGGCAGGAGGGGGTGAGCTGAGACGGGCTGGGAGCTGAGGATAGGTATCCATCCTTCTGGATTTTGCGCCCTTGGAGCGGACCAATCAGGCGCGACAGACGCTGCCCCGCGCCCCGCGCGTCGAGTATCTCCTTGACGTGATTTTGGACCTGGTACCGCCAGGCTCGACCTGTCTCGTGAAATGAAGTTGATGCAAGCCCTCCATACCGCCTCGACGGACTCAATGCGCTCCTTTTGCATAATCATGCAGGACTGTGGTATTGACCATGGTCCACGCGAGCGTGCAAAACCTGGCGAGCCTGTAAATGTACCAGCCGAATTGGAAGCCAGATGGTAGGCTATCGAGGTTGGCCTTCATGGCCTCCCTTCCCGATCGGTTGTCATCGCTAATCCATGTTCGCACCGAGAAGGCAGGCTTACCCTCCCATGTTCCCCTCCTCGGGGCCTGCCACTTTGTCTCTCAGGTGGGCTGAATCCCCAGACGGGCGCATCGGGGCGCGAGCAGATGCAGAGGAATTCGGGGGAACTCGGCTGCAGGTCAAATTCGTCATTCTTCATTCCCAGGAGCTTCTTGGCTAAGAAACACATGGAAGCGCTGGGGCTTGGGGGGGATCCACCCCACCGGGTCTGCCAGGATATTTTTTTTTCCTTCTCGTTTCGGTGTTTTTGTTCGGTGGTATTTACTTTGGATGCATAACATAGGCAACCCGTGTCGCGGCTTGTCGGCCCAGCATCAAGTATTGGGCAGGCCTGTCAGTGCTGCATGTGGGCTTATTTTGGCACTGGCTGCCCAGTGCAGGCACAGGCACGACGATTCTTGTTGGCGTCACGGCTCCATCGCGGGCTCTGAGTGGACGATGGGGTGTGCTCCACGCAGCGTCGCTTGATTCGACCAGAGGCGGCCAGATGTGGATGCCCAGCTGGTCTCTCCATCGCGGGTCACCCCCAGCAGCACCCACCTACTCGCCCCAGCAGGCAGCCAGCGGCCAGCTGGCGACCGACCGACCGCCCTGGGAATTCTCCGTATAGTGAACCCAGACTGCTCCGAGCTCCATCCTCCCGTGCACGCCTCCTGCGCTCGCTTTGCCCTGCCCTGTCCTGCACGTCGAGCACGACCGCTTGCTGCGCCGCCCTGCTGTTATTCGAGCCAGACCTCACCTAGCCACGGCCGACCTGCCAAACCCGCGCCGTTGCATTTGGAGATCGCCAGACCCGACCCCGAGCACGCAGTCCTGCACCCGTCTGTCCCCTCCCCTGCCTTCCCCCACAGGCAGCAGGCAGCTCGCCGTCCAGCACAGGGTTCATGTTCTAGCCGGGTACGTAGCCTGTTCTGGCCTCTCAGCAGGCCTTTGCCCGGAGCCTCCGCCGGAGCCACCGCCCACCAGCACCGCACTGCACCTCCTCCACCCGGCCAGCCCAGCCCAGCCAGCCGGCAGTCCCATGCCCCCCTTTTCTGACGTTTTGCTCTGCCCGCCCCTCCATAGATCGATCGATAGCGACGAGCAGCCAGCCAGCCAGCCAGCCAGCCAGCCCTCTCGATCGCGAGTCCTCCAATCCGCGCTCGGGCGGCTTGCACAACCTGACGGATGGGGTCCACCGAGCTCTGATCCAGCACCTCAATCGGCTTCTCGACGAGGAATAGCACAACGGTCGAGCGCCGGCCGCGAACCCACGCACGAGCTGCCTGGCGGAAGCACCAAGGGCAAATCCCGCAGAGCACCGACTCGCTTTTCGCCCTTGCACCACGCCCCGACCGTCTCACCGTCCCTCCTCCCCGCTCTGACCTTCCTCGTGCCACCCAGCTATCGTCGCCTTCGGCCGGTTGAGGAGCCATCGAGAGCGACTGAGCCAGCCAGCCAGTAGCCAGCCGCCGAGCATCCGTCTCTCGAGTTAGCTCCCACCTTGTGCTCCCGCCCTTGTCTGCTCTGCCTCGCAATCCTCCCATCGAGTCCCCGTGTGGCTCTAGCGAGCGTCGTTCTGCCCAAGCTCGAAGCGACCGACGTTTCGCGCGTGGCTGTCCCTGCACCCGTCGCCTCCCTCCTTTCGCTCGCCGCACAACCGCCCGCCCAAGCTGGATTCATTCACGCAGCCAGAAGGGTCTCAGGGCCAGTACCACGACGCCATGGACAGGATGGACACGGACCCCGCTCCGGTCGATTCCCACGAGGACACCCTCGGCGGCATCGAGGGCTCTCCTCACATCAGCTCCGGCGCCGACGCCCAGCGCCCCAGCCATGGTCAATCGACCTCGCTCGACCAAGGCCTCGGCAGCAACGGCAACGGCCACAACCTTCATCACAGCAACCCAGGCCAGTACCACCAGCTTCCCGACGATATGGACCGCTATAACACACCACCACTGCCGCCGCCGGGCCCTTCGATATCAAGGCCGCCCTCCGTCCTCTCGGCAGGTGGTGGCGCACACGGCGCCCCACCATACAACGGAAACGGAAACGGTGCCGGAAACGGTGCCGTCGACCATGGCTCGCGCGGCAGCGGGGCGCACGTCGAGGCTGCATCGTCGGCTAGGGACAACGGCCGCAGCCACGTCGTTATCAAGGTCGGCATGGTGGGCGACGCGCAGATCGGCAAGACGAGTCTGATGGTCAAGTACGTCGAGGGCAGCTGGGACGAGGACTACATTCAAACCCTGGGTGTCAACTTCATGGAGAAGACCATCAGCATCCGCAACACCGAGATCACCTTCAGCATCTGGGATCTGGGAGGCCAGCGCGAGTTTGTCAACATGCTGCCCCTTGTCTGCAATGACGCCGTTGCCATCCTCTTCATGTTCGACCTCACCCGCAAGAGCACTCTCAACAGCATCAAGGAGTGGTACCGCCAAGGCAGGGGGTTCAACAAGACTGCCATTCCGATCCTTGTCGGCACAAAGTACGACCACTTTGTCAACTTCCCTAGGGAGGATCAGGAGGAGATCTCAAATCAGGTACGCCCAACTTTGGAACCAGAGACCCAAGACTACTGCCTGCCCAGGGCGAGCGTTCAGCCCAACTGACCTTCGTTTTTTGCTCTCCGTTTCCAGGCACGTCGGTTCGCAAAGGCAATGCGTGCCGCTCTGATCTTCAGCAGCACCAGCCACAGCATCAACGTCCAGAAGGTAAATCTTGCCGGCCCAACCCCAACATTATCAGCGCCTGCCGATTTCTAACTGGCCGCTGTCATCCAGATCTTCAAGATTGTGCTCTCCAAGGCCTTTGACCTCAAATGCACTATCCCAGAAATCGAGAATGTCGGCGAACCTCTCCTGCTATACCAGTCCTGTTAATGAGACTGGAGGGTTCTCTAATACTCTTACGCTCTCGTCGCTGGGCCCTGTGTCTGTGCTCCTGGTTGCGGGTGAACCCCTGCCTCCGATGCCAGATGTCATGCCTCCCGATGAGAATCAGCACTTCGTATGTCGTCCACATACACGATACGAAGTCCAGCCACGCTTATCCCTCTCCGGATGGTAGCCGGACAGTGCGATGGAATCGGGCCCAAGTCCCAGGCGCCGATGCCATTTGAAACCCATACACGCACCCTCGCCGCTTCGCCCCGCCACAAACCACAAATCGCCACGCTATACTGGTCGTTTTCCCCCATGCTCTTACCCAGATTCTTTTTCCATTCCCATCCCCGAATTTCGGCACTCGCTGGCATCCCTAGACTCTAATGGGTGTCCGTGCGACTCAAGTCATGTCTGCTTGGCCGCCATCCGACGGTCCTCAGGGGACCACATAAACTGCCACTTGGCAGAGAATTACTCGAGCGTCATCGACCGCCTCGGCCCACCCATTCACTCAACCCTTCCCTACCTGCACACGTTTCCTTGTTCTCCTTTGTCGTCTAATACGATGTGCAAGTTCGCCGCAACTCTGCATTTTCACCTCTCCTTGCTGTCTTGGTCTTTTGCCTTGTTTTCTCTCGTGTCCTAAGATCTGCAAACCTCTTCCCAGAACAACCAAGAATCGGCGTGAAGGACGGTGAGGGGAAAAGATGTTATACCCTGGAGAAAAGTATACATGTGGGCTTGTCACAAGACTGAAAAGAAGGATATGCTATGAAGGCAAGCAAGATATCACGATGAACCAATGTTTCACGGGGGAGAGGAGGGTGGAGCGCCCTCTTGCTCGTCTGTTGCTCGTCTGTTGCTCGTCCGTTTTTTTGTCCGTTTTTCGCCTCCTTCCGGATGGCTTACTAACCCTTTTCTCCCCCTTTCTTTTCCTTTGTTATCATTCGCGGCCGTTTTGGCGTCAACTGTGTTTTAAACCTCGATCGCAATGGAAAGAAATGGCTTTCCAAGGCGAGGGAAACGGGGCATATGGAGAAATGGGAAATACTACACCGCCTTCGTGTTGCTTTTTATTTAATCATATTCTTTCCTCCCCTTGTCCTAAGCCTCACTCGTCCCTCTCTCTCTCCCTCCCTCAATACTATCGTCCCAGCCACTGCTGCCATATTCAGGATTCCATAAATGTAATTTTTGTGATTTTAGCGCATGCCACCCGTTCCATGGCCCCCTCGGCGACAAACATCCATGTACTGCTCTCCGTTCCTCCTCCGTCCACCTCCAAACGTTGCCGGTTTTTTTCCCGCTGGCTGTCCACCACTATCTGGTCTTTTCCAACCCAGAGCCTTGCCAAGGACCGGTTCGGCGCGCCCGCCTGCGGTTCTCGCCATAGACAAGTCCAAAAAGGTACGGGCTTGAACGCATGAGCCCGCAATCAAGTACCGACACCCTGCCTTCCCTTGGCTAAAGTCAGCAGCAACCATCCCACAGTCCCTCGAGAAACACTTCCGTAAACAGCCCCCAGCTAGATCACATTCGAAGCAAAGCAAGCCAACGAATGCGACGCGAGTACTGAATATTAAATTCTCCTACTCCGAATCCTTCTCATTTTCTTGCGTCATTTCTGTATGGACAACCCACCAACCAGGTGGATACGGGAATATTCTCGCTGTCTTCAAAGATCAAGATCCAGTTCGCCCAAAACAACCCCCCAACACCTAGTCCTACCGAGCATCGCGCAAGATTTAAATCAAGACGCACTAGATGAGACTCGCCTGGCCGCCCATCTCTTTGAACGTCAAGTTCTCCTCTCTCAGCTCCTTGAGAACCGCCTTGTGATCCTTGTTGAGCGAGTCCCAGTACGCGTTCCACACTGTGCTGACAACGCCGGGGGTACCTGGTGCCCCGACCCCGGATACACTGGCGAGGCTAGCCGGGAGCTTCTCCCCGAGCAAGAGACTGACACGAAGTACGCTCTTGTTCGCCTCATTCTGCTTCTCGATCTCCTGCTTGACAGCGTTGTCCTTGAGCTTGGTGGCCATGGTGTGGCGGAAAGCCGCTGCAATGCTGTCGAGCCGCCTCGTCGTCTCCTCGGGGGCAAGGAAGACGAGCTTGGACACCATGAGATTGCACAATGCTCGAATATCGTTGTCGTCGCTCAGGCCGTCGATGATTCGGTCGTAAAGCTGAATGACGTCGAGGCGGAGGAATGCCGTCTCCATGAGGGCGTACAGAGTCTCGTACGCGCTCTAGAGGTTGACTGGTTAGCACTAAGAAGTTGTATGCCGAGTGCCAGAGGCGCGCATCATGGTCTGGGGCTTATGTTTACCTTGCGAACCTCGAGGCCATCGTCCACGGTATGCCTGAACGGGCCCATTTGGACCTCTCGGACTAGGTTCTTGTTCTTCACCGACTCGTTGATCACATACGGCAGGAGCTGGCCAAGCTGCGCAAGAATAAGGTCCGGCTTGTTGTGTGCGGCAGAGTTCAGTGCCGTCATGGATAGGCGGCGAATTTCAAGCTCTTTGTCCTGAAGCACCAGCACGAGCATATCCACCAGATGCTCCTTGATGATCGCGTCGAAGACATCTCCGCTTTCAGGTAGCGTGTAACGCAATGACTGAACTGCAATGGCTCGCAGATCAGATGAGCTGTCCTGCAGCAGGCTCTGTTTGGATTTAATGTTAGCAACATGTCGATCGGTTACACTCGAGAAGTGAAGAGTACACGCGTGACAAAACCAAAGAAGCAACCCATACCTGCAGCTTAGGAACATATTCTTGTGGCGCGATAATGGCCAGCCGCCCAATGCATTCTGCGGAGACGGCCTTGTTGTCTTCGACTTTAGACGCACCAAGCAGATGATTCCAAATCTCGGGCAGATAGCTGCCGATGTCGGCCTGCGAGACGGAAACCTGCTGCAGGATTTCCTTGACAGACTGCAGCAGAAGGTACTGCTGGGGTCCATCGCCTTCAATGCCCCGCAGGATGACTGGGAGATACTGGGCAACGTCGCCGGCGCCGGCTCGGCCGAGCGCGACAGCGGCCGAAATAGAGACCTTGTCGAAATCTTTTCCAAACTGCTTCAGGAAGATGTCTGGCGTGAGCGGCGAGCGGGCTCCGAGACGCAGGCCCGCCTCTCCAAGAACCGCAAGCGCGAGGCTTGCTCTCGCCTGGTCCTCACTTGACGTCTGCACCTCGGAAACGAAGCTGTCCAGCGTGACGCCAGCAGAGTCACCACTTGCGACCAGGAGATTTCCAATGACCTTTCCGACAACCACTGGGTCTCCGCCAATGCCGACATTCTTGAGGATTCCTGCCATCAATGGGCCGCCCACCCCGCTCTGCCCCACCGAAGTCACCAGGCTCAGGAGGGGATCCAAGACAGAGGCCGCTATTGTCGATTGAAGCAACTCGCATATAGCGGTGATCGTCTGCGGTGTAATAACCAGCTGCGGGTTTCTCCGCACAAGATCTGCGAGAATGTGAAGAGCAGGGCTCAGCAAGTGGGCGTCGTTGTTTGTGATGACCGGCTGAAGGTGGCTGACGAGGGCCGTTATCGTCTCGTCGCCGAGATGGGCGCGGGCAGATTCGGAGTGCGTCAGATGGCTCAAGGCCTGGATGCTAGATCCTCTCAGGGCACGGTTGGACTTGCGAAGCTGCGACGACAGCTCAACAACGACCTCTTGTGTCCATTCGGGTTCAAACTGCACGTCTTTTGAGGCCGATGCAGCTACGCCGTCGATGGCGCGAACCGCCGACAGTCGAGTGGTCTCGTTCTTGAGGCGCTCCAGAAGATACTTGAGGGCGGCGGCGCGCTCGCTAACTGGCAGTAGGTCTGCGCCTTCGGCCGATGTTCGGGACAGCAGAGTTCCCAGAGCGTGGATCGCCTTTTGCCTGACCTCGGTGTCTGCGTCATTTGCGACCATGCGGTCGATAATGATATCGTAGAGCTTGCGGAGTTCCCCCTTGAACTTGCCAGCCGTTTTGAGTGAACGGGGTGGGGTGATGGCCTTAACAATTTCTTCCGCCGTCTGGATCGCCTCCGCCGAGATCTTGTAGAAACGGTCCTTGACCACTGCCACAACGCATGTAACTATCCTTGTGAGATATGGCTGGAGAAGCTGCGACGAGTGTGTCTTGGCAATGTCGCTAACGAGCCTGAGGGCAGCGACGCGGAGGGTCACGGGTGTTGCCGAAGCGTTGCCTCCAGTGGTCAGCAGGCCAGCCGACGTGCCCGATGGCGTGGAGGGCTTGACTGCTTCGATGATGGGGCCCATGATCTGGTCGAGGTATCCTGACAAGCCACCGCTTTGCACTTTGATTATATCGTCAAACAGGTTTATGACAGCCTGTTTAGTTGAGAGAAGCTTTCCTTTCAGAAGCTTGGTGCCCGACTTCACTATTGCGGGTGTCAGCTTGGCGAGGTCTGCGCGAGGGCCCGAGGCCGGCACCTTCTCCAGGATTGGCGAAGTGAGGCCAGTGCCAGACAGTGCCGCCGCCGAGCCTGCGGAAATGGCAATGGCTGCGGCGCCCCCACCGCTGCTCTGTCGGCGACGCTTGCGGCTCATTGGAAGTTGGCTAATATAGTCATTCTGACTGCTGTCGAGGGAGAACTCGGGGATATGGCCTTCGCCCGTCTTGCGCACAAGCAAAGCGAGAGCCGAGATGACCTCCAGCCGAACATTCTCCTCACGCTCGTCAAACCGCTTAACGAGGGAGGCGGCGGCCTTGTAGAGGACGCCGTTATCCAACAGATCCCCATTACTCCGAGTGGCAATCAGGGTGTAGATGACCTTGGCGGCGCAGCGCCTCACCTTCCAGCTCGCATCGTCGTCGTCTTCGAAGCCATAGTCGGTGTCAAATTCATCGTCGTCCTCCAGACCATCCATGCCGTCGTCTTCGTCGTCTTCATCGCCCATTTCGTCATCGTCGTCGTCGTTTGATGCGTAGTTGGGATCGTACTTGATATACCGCAGGGTGGAGCTGAGGCAGTCTTCGGTGAAGGATCGCATCTCCACGGGGCAAGCGGACAGGAACGACTCGAGCGCCACAAGAGACGCCTCCCTGATGTCGTTGAACTCGGTCCCGACATCCGTGCCCTCGCCAACAAGCTCGAGATGTTCCTGGAGCTCGTCCTCCCCGAGGGTGGACAGGATGAAGGGCGCCACGACTGGCAAATGACGGCCAAATCGATGGGGAATTGAGCGCGCCATAGAGCCGAGAATGGTAATATACAGTCGCCGTGTCGTCCTTGCCGCTTCCTGGCTGCCCAAAATCGAGACAGCCCGCTGAACAAAGCTGTCGAGGACCGTGTCGGGCGCGTAGACAGCAAGGATGGAGATGGCGACGACGGCCCGCTTCTTGACAGTGAAGCTGGGTACGTCATTGTCCAGCAGAGTGACTACGCCTTCGTGGAGTGCCTCGACCTCGTATGATGCCAGCATGGGACCGAAGCAGTGGACAAGCTCGATCAGCACGTCGACGGCCTCGGGATTCATGGCGTTGGGGTCAAGGAGTCCCTCGCCAAAGGGGGGAAGTCGGAGGTTGGCTGCGGGAGCCTTCGGCGTCTGGGTCGACTTGCCGAGGAGGCGAGGGATCAAGACGCGGCTGATTGGGTTATAGGCATCTACTACACTCTTATCGAACCCGGAGGTGACTCCGGGGGTTGGCCGTGGGAGCGCGGCAATAACGGCTCGGATGGCCAGCGATGGGACCGTGTTGTCGACCGAGTTCTTAGGCTTCATAGTCGAGAGCTTCTCGATCAGAGGGCCGATCGCCTGGGTCGGCAGCTTGACGACGAGCGGACCAAGACTGCGAGGGAACGTACGAGGCAACTGTCAGCTTCTCCAGGCCACGCCAGAGACAACAAGGTTGAAGACGCACCATTTGATTGCTAGATTCTGCACCTCGCCGTTCTGGTCATCCAGTGCCCTAACCAGGTGATCAACGGTGCGCGCGGCTACGTTGTAGTCGTTGTGCAGAATGTCGGGTTTGCCGATGTCCAGGACGGTGAGGATGTCGTTCAGCGACATGAACCTGAAGTCTGGGTCGGCATCTCCGAGCTTCACGAGCAGCGCGTTGATGGTCTGCGAGGTCGGGTGCGGTGGTATCGCGGTCGCCATGGCGATGGATGGTTGTACCACGCCGTGGTACCCGGGCCTGGAGGGTGTCGATGCCGGAAGCTCCGAGACGACCGCTCAACATCTGGGTGTTGCGGTGCTGGCGAGTGCTGGAGGTGAGCTGAGACTGAAAAAGCAAAGTAGAGGACTATGCCAAAGGCCCTGGCCTGGAGCGGAGTTGAGGTCAGGTTCAGTCAGGCAGTGGCAGGCAGCAAGCGGGCGTGCTGGAGGTGCTTCCATGCAACCCCCCGCGCCAACTCCAACCAGCAAACGGTGGTGGGGTTGTACAATGTGGGGCACGAGGGGGGCGCACTGGGGTGGTTCTGGAAAGAGCTGGAGCTTGGAGCTGTGACGCCATCTCGTCCATAACAAGAAGGCAGTACTTGGTTGGTTGAATTCTTCCGTATTTTTGCTTCTCCCCTGTCACTACCAGTGCGCAGCGCATAGCAAATTCCATGGGGAGGTGCCACCGTGCACCCTTAGCATTTTCGAGAACGACATGGACACTCACGCAGGCACGCCCACCACGAAAAAGAAATGGCAGTCCCATCAAACAACAAAAAGGCTGCTTCGCAGCTGGAGGTCCTAGAAAGTACAAGTCTGAATGCCGCAGGATAGCCCTTTCTGAAAGTAGACATACAATGAGGGATCAGAGACCACGAAGCCTGTATCTGCACCTTTATTGGATATGTATTCGCCTTTAGGGTAAAGAGATGATGGCATACCTAAGCCTTTGGCCAGGGGTAGAGAAAAGAAGAGCGACAAGCTAGGCAGGGGATGGTTGAAAGAAGCAGACACAAGACTTCCCCCAGAGAAGGAACTTGATCATAGCAGCAGTAATCATTACAGATGAGGCACCCATACAATCTGTGGGGAAATTCACAACGAGGAGGTCCAACTATGACGTGAAACCCTGAAGGAGACTAGCAGAAGATGAGGGGAGCCTGTTACTGGCTGCTTCAATGCAGACCAGTATCGACGGAGAGCCGAGGCTGGTTAGTGGGAGTACCTTCATCCTCAGCCGGGAGAAGCGTAGGGGAGTCGGCGTGCGGGGTCCTATCGCCGTTCGCTTTGGGCTCGTTGACCAGATCCGGGACAGTGTCCTCGACAGGGCCAACAGGGTCGATAGGGTTTGCAGCTGGACCCGGAATAGGGTCCGGATCCTCGGCTAGACCCGCGGTATGGTCCTCGGCAAGGTCTTCGACGGGGTCTATGATAGGATCGACGACAGGGCTGACGACAGAGTCGGTAGGGTCCTCAGCTAGCCCCGGGCTCAGTTCCTTGACATGATCGACGACGGGGTCGACGACGGGGTCGATGACAGGGTCGACGACAGGGTCGATAGGGTCCTCAGCTGGCCCCGGGGTAGGCTCCTTGACAGGGTCAATAGGGTTGACAGGGTCGGCCAGGGAGGCTTCAATGACTGGGTCTGCGTTGGTGGCGTTGTTTCCACTTTGGAGCGTGGCGAGCGATTGTCGGGCTTCAACCACAAAGTCAGTCAATAGGTACAGCTCCTTGGCCGTTGATTCAAGGCAAGACTTGGACAAGGGATTGGGGCGGTCAGCCGAGGGACTCACACGTGCCGAGCTGCCTGGTTTCAATCTCGTCAAGAGGCTGAGCGGGCTGAACAGCTCCCAGAAGGGGGGCCAACTCCGGGCAGAGGCAGATCATCTAGATCGGGTGCCACCTTTGGGCAGACGCAACAGAGGCAGGGAGTCATCTTGAGCGGGACGAGTAGAAATACTGATCAGAAGTAATACGATGCAGCGACTGCAGATTGATTGCCTGGAAATCTCGGGTGGTTGAGCCGGGGTAGATGATGTTGGGATAGTTGACGGATGAAGGGCTGGCTGGAGAGCGCAGGAGATGGTCTTTCAAAACGGCAGCATTTTGCACCTCCCTTAACCAGGGCGCCCATCGTTTCTTCCATGTCCGGAAAGACCCTTCCTCTCGTGGCAGTGACTGGATCTAGCAGGTGCGCCCATGTCGTCCTGTCTGTTATTCTGGGAGGAACCCTGACCCGTGCCAGGGGCACTTTCCATCGTTTTTTTCCTCTTGCATTTCCGTCGTTCTTTCCTTCTTGCATTCCCTTTTTCCTGTGATCCTATTACTATGCTCATTCTTATCGTGATGCCTCGATTCAAGAAATACACAGTGTGTCTCTGCAGTTTGCTAGCCGAATCTTTGCCGCTTGCTGGCTGTGTTGGCATCTGCTAAATCAGGGCTCCCCTGTGACTAACTGCTCTTCTCGGAGCCCCTTACCCACCCGTGGTACATTTCCACCACCCATATACGGTTCTTCTGGTCTTGAGACTGAAGCTTTGAACGGGTGAAAGAGAGTCCTTAATCGTAGAAAATACGCCGGATGATCATAGATCCTGACGAAACCACGCACAAATGGCTCGTCTGCTATTGAGGACACCGCTTGTAGCCCTCCACACCGCCTTGGCACGCAGTCATGGATGCGTCGCCGAGCCCAGGGTATCTTGCCGCTTCGTTGCTCCCGCTGTTTAACGTGACCATTCTTATCTCCCTTCTCTTTCAGAAAGGTGTAGCTGCCTTGTATCTGGAGCCGGCGCCGACATGTATAAAGATGGCGTCGCCGTTTCCTTGGAGGTGACGGGAGACAACCCGATTTGTATACTTGGAACGGGTTATTATACGTCCAGCACTCCTTTCGATCACTCCCAGTGTCTAGTTCTGCCTTACAGCATGCTCTAGACCACGAGTGAACACTTCCGTTCCAATAAATCAGCATTTTAGCCCATGTAAGCCCAAGAAAATCCGTTGCCCGGTACTCGACCCAATCCGGATACTCGGGACCAGATTCAGTCCAGATGTGGCGTCTTTGGAGCTACAGCAAAAAAAGACAAGTCATATGTAACCGAATGTGACATAGTTCTTTCAGTCCTACGAGATCAATGCATTATATAAGTCCAAGTGTCCTCTTTCGTTCAGCGAGCCTGCCATTGTCAGATGGACCCAAGAAACAAAGGTCTCGGGGTTTGCGTTCCTTTCAATACTGCACCGGGCCGTAGCCTCCACCAAGAAACAAGGAGTCCCTGCATAGCACGCTGGTTCTAAACAATGGGATCATATATCACGGGTAATGATAAGATACGGAGTCTCTCTCACCACTTATGTATATAAGTGATGCTGAGATCGCTTCTTCGTGGTAGTAGACACTGTGTCACACCATCTGCCTCATCGCCTTCGGCACCCTTCCACCAACTCTAAGTCCTCACCCGACTTAGTTCCGAAGCAGAAATCTAACTTATCCCCGAAGCAAACTCGCCTGTATCAACATGGTTAGGCCGGGGTACAAGTGCGAGATCTGCAAGAAGACCAAAGGGGTCTTGAATTTCAAAATCCGGGATAGCAACTACGAGATCATCAAGTACATCTGCGATAGGTGCCACCCATGCACGCAGGCAGATGCTGAGGAGGGGTGCATCGTAGTCTGCCCCTGGGAGACAGTGGACGACGCTGTCTGCGTCTGTAACGAAACATTCGACGCACAATGGGAGGCCGCTGTTTATGAGGCCACTGCATCCCAGGTAATCAGGGAAGCGGAGCAGAACGCGAGGCGGAAGCGGATCGCGAGGAGGAGGAAGGTGCTGGTGATGAGGATCAACAAGATGGCGAGGAACAGGAAGAAGACGATGACGAGGAGGAAGGGTGCCATGGCGAGGACAAGGGACTTCGCGGAGAGGAGAAAGCGCTGGCTGCGCAAATCTCGCAAAGCTAGAGCATAAGTATGTCTCAGCTGGCGTGGCGTGTATCTTGGAAGGCGATTATCGAATGGTGTGCTCTATCACCGCCAACATTCGGCTTATCAGCATGGTATCAAGCAACTTCGGCGAATCGGCAAGTATAATAAACGAAAGTAGTAAACATGATGCCTATGGACTGTGCAACATCTCCTATGCCTACTACGCACCCGTGGGCTTGGCGGTTTACAGCCGCTCGCCCTTGTCGGTATACACTAAAGTGCCTATACCTACCTAGGAATTTCCTGGACATGTACGTTATGATGAGGAAGTTCTTGCTTAGGAGTCGAATTGCACACTATAAATAACTTTAAATCTACCACTATGCGATAGCTGCTCCACACTTACGACCGCTCTATCAACAAGATTACTTATCGAGGGGGGGGGGGGGCTCCCATCGCGCGGAGCTGGATCTAGGCAGACGTTCCAGAAACACAGTTGCATGGCCTGAACGAACCCGGGCGTTGCAACGAAGGCTGGACGCATGCCACGAGAGGCCTGGACTACTGCCTCGAGATCATCGCCACGTAGAACAGATTTTGTGTGGTTGTGGGCCGGAGAATGTTGAAGGCTTGGCGGTTGGTGGCTGCCAAACAATTGTGACGTCTTTGGTGCAACTTCTCTGCCAAGCCGGGCCGTCGATCCCACAAGCCCGAATGCCGACCCAGCGATTTGAATGGTGGAGCCACGGCAAGAGCCAGTGGGGCACAGCGCCACTCCCACGCACCGCCACAGCATATCGAATGCACAGCGACGCCACGCCACTCGAAGCATCCACACCCTTTTTCCGCCACGCACGGAGGCCCAGCCGCACTGTTTTGTTCCCCCCAGCGGACATTATCGGGGATCCGACAGCCGAAGAAGGGATGAATGCATCGTTCCAACGATTAACATGGGATGACCCAAGAAGCCGACTGGGCATGTACGCAAGGATGTGCTTCGTACTTGGAGGTGCCGCCGCTGCTCAGCGCGAAAGGACTGTGCAACGATTGGCATGGCTAGCTTACCTGTCCTGGCATCTTTCCTGATGGGACAAAGTATCACTCACCGACGACCGATAAAGTCCGCCGGGGGAGTGCTAGGTTGTGGCCGGCGGAGTGGTAAACCACCGACCTCCGGTTTCTGCCGGTTGCAGATGCCGTTGTCAGTTCCCAGTCGTGCCAGTGCACAACGCACAACGATCGGTGTGGCCATCACATAGAACCATGTCCTCATCCATAGAATTGAGCTTGATTTCGTATTGAGTGGGGCTTTTATTGGCGGCCGCCCGTGTGGCTGTGCAAAGAAACGGCAGGGGCAGGAGATCACCGCTGCCATCGTTTATTCTCGAAAAGTTCTAGCAAGCAGGCATGGTATGGCGGCTCGTTCTCTGACTTTTGGCGTGTCCTTGCGGCGTCAAGAGTCGCACACGATCCAGCGAGGCCGGGGGTGCCCACGCCTTCAAAGGCTGACGATGGAACATGCCATCATGCGCTGCACGCGGCTGGCGGCGGCGGCGGTAGCTGTGGCAGCTGAAAGCAATGCGCCTCGCCCACGAGGCCGGCGCTCGACAAAGGGGGTACGGCACTGTCAGGCCTTGTTTGCACATCTCCCGGGAAACGACCGCCTCGGAATGTAATCTCTGGCAGAAGCACTGCCTCGCGGCCAGCATGGCTTTGGCATTTCCTGTCGTCGCAGCAGGGCTGGAAACGAAATAAGCGGTCCAGGATCGGCTGTTTCGTTTTCGGAATCCAAGCAGGCAGCGACAAGAGAAAAGGCGGGCAGAGGTAGACTTTGGGAGAAATCTCTTGGCGAAACACTCTTTCATCCTTCCCCGCACATCATGGGGAGGTAGTAGGGTTGTCGTCGTGGTCACTATCGTGTGTGCTGTCGCAAGCAACATTGGCATGCATACCAGATAAGTGATATGAGCGCCGGCATCGCCGACTGCCTCGCCCCGCGCAGCAGATATGGAAGAAGACGAGGACGGCATCACAATCGGATGTCCTCGAGCATTTCCATCAAGCTCTCGCTCTCCCGCCTTCGCGGCGGAAGCCCTCCTCAGCGTTTGTTTTGGAAAATTGAATGTCCCAGACAAACAGCGAATATCCGCCCACGGGAGCCGACAGGTGCCTCCTGGTGAGGCAGCTGCCATCACCGCTCGGCGCCTGGCGTTGGGGCCTGGCCGAAAAGCGAACCTGGGCGTCGTCATCCTCAGGCCGCAGGCGCTGGCGCTGGCTGGTTTGGGAACGAGAGGTCCGCTCCCACGACAAGGTTTCCCCGATCTGACGGGAAACGCTCGTTGAGTGCCAGTGCGAGGTGGATGCAACAGCACCAGCAGGAAAGGGGGGACAGGGCCCAGGGGCGCCGCTGGTGCTGTGCTTACCACAGCGTCGGCTGGGGGCGGGCACAGAGGTCAACTAAGGTACTGAGTACAGGGAGCGACTTGCCAAGTCGGGCGCAGGCTCTTGGGCCGACCAGCGCAGATCGGTTTTCTGGGGAGTCCATGGGCGGTCCATGGTGGGTCCGAGGACAAGACTCCCGAACGGGGGAATTGGCTGCGGGGACATGAGCGCTGGTGCTCAAAGTACCCGCTACCTGGGGGACCAAACAGGCTGTGCAATGTGCTGCAGCGCTATGATTGGTCGGGTCTTTGACGAACCCCGGCCCCGGTCGATTGGAGCTGACGCGGCCTCTTGTCCTGATGGGCTTGCCCAATCAGGGAAATGATGGGTCCCAGACACAGCCCAGGTCCGCCCGCTCCTCGCTCCATCCCGTTTTCCAGTAGGCCTCAAAATCCCCGTTCTTTCCGGGCGCCAACCTTCTTCTCTCACACGCCCGCGATTGATTCCCAAGCCTTCTGCCCAACCCAAGCATATTGCTTTGTTGTTTATGCCAGCTCCCGATCGTCTGCTTTCCACGAACCGATCAAAACGACCGTAACTGCCGCCGCTCCTCGAGCACGACGACAAGGAACAGCCGCCACCCTCGTCCTTCGCATCTGCCCGTCGCCCACCCCCCTTTTTGCCAGCAGTCCATCTGGCTTGATGAACAGTATCAAGCGAGAACAAGAGTTCGGCAGCGTTAGCATGTCGAAGGGGCCCTCAAATACCAGCCCGGCCACGTCGCAGGCGGGCACCATGGATCCGCTCGTCGACTCCCTCATCGACTTCGGCGAGTACGACAGCAGCAACATGTCATACCAATCACCCTCGCTGTCGCCGGCAGCGACCTCCAAGGCCTCCTTCACGAGGCCCACGCCCTCGGCCACCACGCCCATCTCCCTCCTGACGACGACGCAACCCCTCTCTGGGCCCAGCCACGACTACGACATGTACAAGCAACAGACGGGCATCGTTCCTGGCGCTCTGGCAACGACACTGGCGGTCAACCAGAACAACACCCAGATCACGGGCTACTCCTCGTTCAACATCGAGGAGTACCTTGGCATGAGCAACCCCGACTTCGACTTCAACACCAGCCCATCACAGCAAACAGTCGACATGGATATGGAGTTCGATTCGCCTGCAGACAACAGCTTCTTCTTTGGCTCGACCGTCAACCCCAGCATCATCGGCGGCCAGGACTCGCAGGGCCTCCCTTCGCCGTCACCCCTCTCGTCCTCTGCTAGCGGCCCAACCAGGGTATGGCCCGGCATGCACCAGCAGCAGGCCGCCCTCGCCAAGGCCCAGGCTCAGCAGAAGATTCAACAGCAGATCATCCAGCAGAGGCAGCAGCCACCGCCTCAGCCGGCTAAGCACCAGCGTTCCAAGTCCAACCAGCCGTCCGACCCCATCGTGGAGCAGAAGATTACGCAGCTGCTGAACTCGATGCGAGCCAAGCCCTCGAATGGCGATTCCCAGAGCCAGAGCCCTGTCTTGCACCCTCCTCGATCCAAGAAGGACGAAGAGGACATGGACGAGGATGAGAGGCTGCTTGCCAGTGAAGAGGGCAAGAAGCTCACCAGCAAGGAGCGCCGCCAGCTGAGGAACAAGGTCTCGGCCCGCGCTTTCCGCTCAAGGAGAAAGGGTAGGCAGCTTCAAAACCCTGGGGTGCTATATCGAAACAGTTTAAGCCAGGAAATAACGCTAACATTCCAATACAGAATACATCACGCAACTCGAAAGCGAGATTGCCGGCAAGGTCACCGAGAACGGCGACTTGCGGGCGCACAACCGTGCTCTCCAGGACGAGAACAAGAGGCTCCAGGATCTCACCCGCATGCTTCTTTCGTCGCCTTCGTTTTCGGATTTCCTCGACCGGCTTAGCTCCAACCCTAGTCAACTCCCTCAGCCATCGCAGTCCGCCCCCCAGGCCGAGCAGCAAAGGCCAGAGTCGCGCCAGATGCCCAAGGACGTCAACCCGTATGCGACTCAGCAGCACCGCCAGCAGATCGGTATGGCCATGATCCCTGAGCAGACCATGGACTTCTCAGGTCTGGCACTGGACACGGACATCGCCGGTTTCAACTTCCAACCTCAGGTTTACGCCGTCATGGAAACTCCCGAAATTGTCCTGCCTTCGATCGAGCCCTCTGTCCTCTCTGGAAAGTCATCCAACTTCATCGGCGAGACCTTCAAGGCCGATGACGAGAAGATTAGCACTCCCCTTATCACTTGCCCTGAAGTTTTCGAAGAGGAGAAGCTTGATGCTCCGGCTACTCCCGTGACTCCGGTGCTCTCGGATCCCGACTTCGAGAATGACCCTGCCTTTGCTCTCTACAACGACTCCCCGATCATCACCGTGTCCTCGACCGAGCCCCTCGAGGTCGACCTTGATGGTCTCGCCGACGTGGACATCTTCGGAGGCATCGAGACGGAGAAGGCATTGGCCCGCTACGAGCTAGTGGATGCCGCCGACGAGGAGGCCCAGGCTGCTGTTGCTATCTTCAGGCTCGAGCGCATGACGGCGAGGCTAGACTCGATGATGGAGCAGCTGGCATCACTGAGTTTCAACTCATGATCCTAAACTTTCTTTTCGCATTTCTGCTTCCTATTTCTTGTCTATAATATTACAAGCATGTGTTCCTTCTTGAGGCCCTCTGTCCTACAATAACCGGCGTATTTGGAAGACCTGAGAGACTGACTCGGCACGAAGTTTATTGGGCCAGACCGGGACATTCTCCTGTCGCCCCCTGCTTGCTCAGCACCTTTTTCCCTCCTGTTTTCCTACTGTTCTCCTACTTTTCACGATTTATGAGGCCCGGTACAATATTTAGTTTCTTTTCATCGCCCATCTCGTCCTGTGCATTCTTTTTTCACACACTACTTCCCAGGGCCTCACCGATTACAATCCATGCACATCCTATCCTTACATCTTGTTTTCAAGGGTCTACGCATCTCATTCTCGCCGAAAAGGCTGTTGGTATGGGCTTCTCATTATGATTACCATGTTTTTTGACTGGCGTTGTATTTGTGCGTAGATAGGCACTGAATGTAGTTAACCGGCCATCTCATCGGCAATTTTGACTAATAAAGTGGAATCACAAGACAACGGGAGCAAAACCATGTCCATGTCTAGACGCAACTCTCCATGTCTGGTTTCAGGTGCTCCAATGCCCCTTGTGGGGATAAAATTGCCAACAGTCCATTAGAAACATCCCCTCCATCGACCATTACCTTGGTCGAAATCAAGTAGGAAATGAGTTGTCATGCCATAACCTGCCGCTTCCGAATCTTAGCTCATCGATGCTTAGCAAGTGAATTGCGGTCAATATAGACTTTGTGATGGGGGCATGTGTTCGCTCAAGCAAAAGAAACATGGCTAAACGGGTGTTTCCGATATATGCGCCGGGTCCACGCAGCCCAGCCCAGGACCAAGGAGGTGGGCTTTGCCGACGGCTAAAGCTGGACACGTCCGATCCAGCGTGGTGGGCAAATGTCAATAAAAATAGACGGGATGGAAAAAGAAAGGGGGATGGGGGATGGGGAATCCATGGCGAGAAAATTACTACAGCCTTGGAGCAGAAGTGCACAAGGGGGACACGCGGAGGGCGATGTGCGAGATTCAAGCTGATTGCCGATCCGGAATCTCCCGCGAGCCAGAGGGGAGGGGAGGGGGTGGAACGGTGGACGGTCATATGTTGTCTGGAAGGGGGGGCGTGTGCGACTGCGTCAAGGCATTTTAAATAGCAATCAGGAAGGGAGAGAAAGAGAGAGGGTAGGGTGACGAAGGTGCGAGGGTCGGACGAGAAAGGATGACGGTGAAACCTAATATGGACGCAACTCAACTCGGCCCGAGCCAGTAACCTGAGCAGCACACACCTTGCCCACCGCCGTTCTAGAACGGGTGTTACCCATGTACAACGTGCTACGGAGGTCGTGTTGCCCCCTATATTCATCCATCATCCAGCTGACCGCGCCGACATGCACATGTCCACCACGGGGGTGCGCCAGCTTGCTCCGCGGGGGCCGGGTGGCGAGCGAGACGCCCCGCACAAGGGGGTCGCGCAAGGTGACAGCCGTACGCATAGTGCAGTTGTGCCACGGCGACCCCCGAGAATCGGTAGAGGTGGCGGGGCTGCATATGCGGATATGCATGAGGTGGCCAGGCAGCGAAGTTCATGTGCATGTACTTTGCTGGAAAAGGTTGGCCGTGAACATACGGCGAGGAAGCATCCTAGAGATGCCCTTCATATTCTCCGGAATGACGGCTCGGCGGGCCCAGATTGGGCGAACGGTATTCTATCTCAGATGGACGACACCCGACGCCCGCCTTGTATTTACAGAGGCGTCGGCGACAAGGATCCCCGGAAGTGAAGCTGAACAGCGTGAGAACGGATCCAGGCGCCAAACAAAAATGACTTGCAGAGCTAAAAATAAAGCGAAGCCCAGTCATCAGTGGTTCCAGGCCCTCACTCCTCGTAGATATTTGTGTCGCTGGTAGGCGAGAGTGGACGCGCGGAACGCTGAGTTAGCACCTGACCGCGACGGTTTAAGCCATGATATATGCGAGCACCAGAGGAGATTTGAGTAAAACTCAAAATGATGAAGAGAAGGGAAAAGAAAAGGAGAAAAAAAAAGATACGGGTGAAAGCTGCACTCACAAATCTTCCGAGAACCGCTCTCGCCCTTCGGCGTCCTTGTTGGCGTAGACGCTGACGCTGCACTGGCCGCAGGGGAAGACGCCGAAGCCGTCGGGCCCGATCTCCACCTCGCGGTCCGACCAGCCGAGCACGTCGGTCCAGCGCTCGCCGGCGTGGATCTCGCCCACGTGCATTCGCTTCTCGCCGGGCCCGGCGTTGCTGAGCACCGCGGCGCACCCGTGCGGCCGGTCCCAGGTGCCGTACTTTACCCAGCCCAGGCAGGTCGCGAAGTCGAAGTAGTCGGCTTGCTCGCCGTACTGGATGTGGTGGGTGGTTGCGGTTGCGACTCGAGAGGTTAGTTCCAGGCCCTTGACTTTAATCTCGACATCAATGCCGGGGCTGGGGGATGGCCGCATTGGGTATGCAAAGCGAGGCTACGAGGGTGAACCTTCCCCAATGCGGAAGCGGCAAAAGGCTAGCGGCGGTGAGCTCGAGAATGTCTTTTTACATACCGCATAGAGCTTGCGGGCAAGCATCAGCTTGGGCAGCGCGCCGCCGCAGCTGGGAGGGAAGGGGTGCTCTCCCTTGATGCCGTATAGATCGCCGTACCAAACGCAGGGGTAGCCCGAGGCGCGCAGGAGGATCAGCGCATAGGCGAGCGGCCTGAACCAGTCGGCGATCGGGGCCTCAAGAGCCTGATAGGGCTGCGTGTCGTGGTTCATGACAAGGGTCTAAGTCCGGTCGGCCCAAATCGGATTTTGGAGGATGATGCAGTCAGTTGAGCCATCCCCCATCACAGGACGAGCCCGCCTCCCCCTTGTGGAATATGGGAAGAAGGGCAGAAGAAACTCACAACGGCGTTGATGGGCTCGCGCTGCACCAGCGTGTCGTCAAACACCTTGCGCATGTCGGCGCCGTCGCCCTGCGAGATCTAGCTGAAGCTGTAGACGAGCGGGGCATCAAAGAGCGAGAACTTCTTGCCCATACGGGCGAGGTAGCGCGACATGTCGTCGAGGCTGTCCTTCCAGAACTCGCCGACAAAGAACCAGCCGCGGCCGTACTTTTCGTCCAACATGGTGATGAACTTGCGCAAAAAGTCCTCGCTGTAGTGCTTGATCGCGTCGAAGCGGATCCCCGCCAGGGGTAGCTCGCCGGCGAGCCAGCCGCCCCAGTCCAGCACGTCCTTCTCGACCTCCGGGTGGGAGTAGTCCAGGTCTGAGCCCATGAGGTAGTCGCTGGACGCGCGTGTCAAAGACGCCTGCTGTTAGTAAACAGCATTTGTGGCGCCGGACGGCAAGGTGCTGGTTCTTACTAGTTTCCCTTCTCGCTGTCGACGTCTCCATCGTCGGCCCATCCCTGGTCGTGCTCACCCATGATCTTGAAGATGCCCTTCTTGCCACTTGCGGCGTCGAAGTCGACGCCACTGAAGTGGTACCAGTGGTACTTTTGCTCAGAGTATTTGCCCTTCCGGCCTGGAAAATCGAAGCCAACCCACTATACAGAAACCAGGAAGACAGAGGGTTAGCCAAAAAAAAAAAAAAAAAAAAGACATTGAATAGGGAGACGCCATACCGCTGTGATCTCATATTTGTCGCTGATGAACTTGTTCCGGTCCTCCTCATCCACCTCTGCGGCTGGGCATTTCTCCTTGTGGTCGGCAGCGAACTTGTGGTTAAGGACCGCGTCCTGCTCACCTCTTAGTTAGTGATGCTGACATGCCGAACCACGGCCTGCTTGATCGGCGTACCCAGTAGATGCCAACGCCATTCTTTTTGGCGTTGGAGCAGAGCCTCTGCAGCTCCTCCTTGGTGCCCCATTTTGTAGCCACGGAGCCCTTTCTGGTCAAACTCGCCCAGATCGTATCTGCCAGGACATGAGGTTAGATATGGGTCCACGTCTGGCCCTGGAGCTCTTCACGAAGCGTCACTTACAGGTCATAGATATCGTATCCGTTGCCCTCGTTGCTGGACCCCTTGCATCTATTGCAGAAACCCAGCACATGATGGTCAGCTTGATGATAGGCGCCAGCTAATGGCTCCAGATACTGCCGAGTACAATCATTGAGCGGACAGGGGGTGTACTTACCCCGGAGGTACCCAGATGTTGTCGATGCCCCAGGCCTTTAGCTGAGGGATTCTCTTATCCAGCCGTACCCAGTGCTTACCATCGGCAGGCACATACCTGTAGAAGCTTGGGTCAGTATAACAGCCAGCGGGTAGTGTTATTTTCTGAGATGGACTGA